TTACTGATTACCGTAATGTCGCGTGCATTAGCCGGGGCTTATATGCCTATAAGCCGGTGATGGAGTCAGGCTTGTACACAAGACAGGCTTATACACGAGACAGGCTTATATGACAAGCACCACTCAATGACCAGGCTTGTATGCGCAAACTGCTGACTTTTGGACGTCAAAACCAACATTTTCCAACGGGATTTTTTTTCTTTTTTTTCGCAAGTGTACGGTACCATGCAAACATGAACATGTAAAAGGCGCGCTCACCAGTCTTGCGTAGTAGCCCGGCTTACGCACGCGACACGTGGCGAGTCTCGTGTACTGGCCCGGCTTATGCATGCGACAGGCTTGTACGCGAAAAGCTGTTGCAGATTTCATGCTTCTACACGAGACAGGCTTATGCACAAATCCGGCTTATGCACGCGACATTACGGTATAGTGATCAAGGAGGCGCTACTGCCAATGGTCGTACAGTGCGTATCCGTTATAGCGTGGTCGTGTAAAAGAGTATACTGCCTACAAGAATGACCTCTCATGTTTTCATAATCATAACATGGATTTCAAGTGGATATTTATTCTTACAAGCAATTTTATCGTACAGTAGAATATATCGGTCCTAAGAATGGACTTTGTGTAGCAAAATATACCAGATTAGTACAAAGTATATTGCCTGTAGTAATAATATCCGTCCAATTCAGTTCCGATCTGACTCGCGTTGGGTCGTAGTGCTGCAGGTTCAACTGTTGTGGTCATGTAACTCATGTTGCATAGCCACATGGTAAGCCTATGCGACTATGACCAGCCGCAAGCACCGTAACACTACATTGCATGTACGATGATCTTCCTGTCTCTGCGCACATGCACATGATATGTCACACTTGATTTATCGTGTGTAAGGAATATCGGAAATAAGAATAGAAAGTCGTTTTTTAAACACCCACCCTATAACCGATACCTACTGTATATCCATCTGACTTTGCGATAAAGCAGTGCTGCTGGCTTTTGAAAACTCAATTTTGGCAAAATTATGTCCGTAAACTCCACTTTTAACTCAAAACATTGTTTTGGGATCTGCTTTTTTTCTGTACACGTTGCCTTGGTATACTTGTTCTTATAAACCGGGCCGATTTTCTAACACAGGTGGGTGGGTAAAACTCCCCCCCCCCCCCCCCACACACCCACACCCACCCACACACACACACGTCTCTCTCTCTCTCTCTCTCTCTCTCTCTCTCTCTCTCTCTCTCTCTCTCTCTCTCTCTCTCCTCTCTCTCTCTCTCTCTCTCTCTCTCTCTCTCTCTCTCTCTCTCTCTCCCTCTCTCTCTCTCTCTCTCTCTCTCTCTCTCTCTCTCTCCCCCCCGTGTCCTTTGACTTTTTCATCCCGAAATGTGGCAAGAATGAACTGTGTGGGTAACACTATGCAGGATGTAGACAGCGGCGGATCCAGAGTTCACCTGAGGGGAGGGCGCGGGTAATATTCATGACAGGGGAACCTATGCGGTACCTGTATTTTGTACACATTACGACATAGTGGCTATTTTACGTCATAGGCTTATCGGTTATGTAGAATTACTATTTTAGCACATGCACTCACTCCCACTTTTTCAACCACTTCATTGAGGACTCTGGCTGTAGTAGAACATAGCCATACTACATTGAATTGTGTAAAGATAGTGCTTCAAAGCTCGAGACATGCTGAGATCGAGAACAATGGCAAAATAATAAAATATACGATTACTTGGATGGCCATGTCCAGCAGTAAGAATGGATGATGAGGTATTCACCTCGGGTTGATCCTTGTCGATGCAATGTAGGAAACGGGACGCACGGCGCAAAAACGCCTTCCTCGCCAGCCTTTCCGGAATAGGCAAGCCACTCAAACCTCTTCATTAGCAGCGAGCGAGTGGAAGTACCGGTCTTTCGGCGGCTGTCGGGATAATCCCTAGATGGCAACACCGTCTGCTTATCAGGCTTCCGGTTCCCAAGTATGTTGCGCTTTTCTGCATTGCTGAGAGTTGCACCGCCAATAGCTGCATCAACAGCATCCGAGTAACTTCGCTGCGTAGCAGTGCCACTAGCCACATTCGTGACATTCACAAAGTTGTCATTTCATTCTTCTTGCAGGAGATCCCCTCGACAGGCCCAAAGCCTTTGGGAAATCCTTTAAAAAATATAATAAAATACAAAGTATAACGTCGTCATCTGCGATAGTTTCAACAGGTAAACGCTCCTGACTCGCATCACTACTACTGACAGTCCCCCCATCGTCGTTAGAATTTTCTTCGGATTCCATTTGGGGAAGATCAGAGTCTGAGCAGACCTCGATCTCAGGATCTTCGCGGTGGTCCGAATTCTCCTCCAAAGACGGATCGCTCAACTGAGCAGCTGACGAAGCGCAAGTTCGCTTCGCGAAAAATCCGTGGAGAGTTTGTTGGCTCCCTAGCCGCTTGGGCGGGCGGTGCGCCATCCCCTTCACCGACTTAGCTATACAAGTTCGTGAACTGAACACTAATTTCAAAACTAAAAGTCAACCAAAGTCTAAGAGAACAACTACTCCGTGTTCAGAAGAACTTTCTTACCTGACACTAGAATATACTTGTCACAGCATGTGCAAACACTTGCGCAACTGCCCATGTGCATGCACTAAAAAAATCGAACTGTTTGAGGGGAGGGCGCGCGCCCACCGCGCCCTCCCCTAGATCCGCCACTGGTAGATGTGTTTTTTTTTGTCTTTTTGTCTCTTCAGCTAGTTAACGGCAGGCCCATGCTTATAGCTGATGATTTAGCTGTAGCACCGGACGGAGTAGTGTACTTCAGCGACGCTTCAACCAAGTTCACATTGCTAGAGGCGTACTACGATCATGTGGAAGCGGGTGCCAACGGACGCGTCATACGCTATGATCCGAAAACAGGTATGATAGAGAGAGAGAGAGAGAGAGAGAGAGAGAGAGAGAGAGAGAGAGAGAGAGAGAGAGAGAGAGAGAGAGAGAGAGAGAGAGAGAGAGAGAGAGAGAGAGAGAGAGAGAGAGATGTGTGTGTGTGTGGGGGGGGGGGGGGGGGGTACCCATCCGCAGCCCGCAGAGACCAGAGCTCCATGTGTACACATACATGTACGGCATATCATCACTTAGCGTCCGTGTATGTATGTGTCCGCTGTGTGTGTGTGTCTGTCTGTGTCTGTGTCTGTGTATGTCTGTGTGTGTCTGTGTGTGTCTTCTGTACCCAGGTGAAACCAGTGTATTCACTGACAACTTACATTTCCCTAACGGAGTGGAGCTGAGTTTTGACCAGTCCAGCATCCTTGTAGCCGAAACTAACATCTATCGAATTATTCGGTAAGCTATGGATTAAACCTCACCGTGATGTCAGCCATTCTTTCTACCCCAAACACCTCTCTGCAGATAGAATATGAAGGAGAAGAAACAGAAAGAGAGGGAGAGAGAGACAAAGAGAGAGAGAGAGAGAGAGAGAGAGAGAGAGAGAGAGAGAGTGAGATAGAAAAAGTGTGAGAGAGATAATGAGAGAGACAGAGACAGACAGACAGACAGACGGAAGCGACGGAGATAGACAGACAGAGACACAGAGACAGACAGAAAGAGACAGAGAACTAATGGTAGAGGCCCTGTACCAATGAGGAAGACCTAGGCTAGCAACCAAACCATTGTGTGCTATGCAGAAACCAGGAAGGGACAGGTTACAAATCTGAGTTGGGCTCCAACTGCTTACTCTGGACTTAACCATCGGAATCAGTCAGATTGATTTTCCTCACCCGTGCGCACACCGCTGTGCTGCACCCAGAAATCATGGTATCAGGTACTGTACCGACTCAGGAAAAAGGCTACAAACACGAAATTCACTATCTACTATCTGACGGTATATTACCTGGTTACCTTGGTGAACTGTCTCGTCACCTTGGTGTACTGTCTCGTCACCTTGGTGTACTGTCTCGTCACCTTGGTGTACTGTCTCGTCACCTTGGTGTACTGTCTTTTTACTATGGTAGACTGTTGGTCACAACTCGTAACATTTTGGCCCTTTATCCTTTGCATGAATATTATTGGCTCGCCAATCATTTGCGCCTTGATCCTTCAAGGGTGGTGGCGTTCCTACGGATGCGGAGAACTCGGCCTCTAGCCGAGTCTGACATGAACCGTGAAATATTTTTTCTTATTGGCTCACCATCCGAATTTAAACACAACATTCCTTCTGTTTTTTGCTCCTTGTGCAGTGTATTTCTCTATGGTGACCGTGCCGGGCAGTGGGAGATCTTCGCTGACAATCTGCCCGCACATCCGGACAACATCCGCCGTCACCCAGACCATGGCTACCTGGTGGGGCTGTCCGGAATTCGAACTTGGGACTTGACCGTGCTGGAGCACTACCCGTTTCTTAGACGTCTGCTTATCAACGTGAGTAACCTACGGGAATGTGTTACCATGGAGTTGTTCACAGGTTGGAGGGAAAGATGCAAACGGGAAAAGTCTGAAGAAAAAAGTTGTTGAGTCCACAAAACTCTAACCCCTGAGCTATTGTGTAGTTGTCATCCCAGCAGGAGTTGTTTGGGGCAATTACTTGCTCAGGGTACATTGCTTGTTAGGCAGTGAACTAGCTAGGTTTGTCTTATGAAAAGCAGGGCCGGCGCCACTGGTACGGCCGGTACGGCATGGCCGTACCAACTTCCCAAAAAGTCGGTCCGCGTGGAACGTCCAAAACCGGGGAGAAAAAGTTTCGATGTATGATTTTGTACAGGGAGTCGCCCAGAGTGCAGGATTTGCCGTCTAAATTCCAAAAACATTCTGCAGGGAGGACCCCCAGACCCCCCTTAAAGATGGCCCTTGGGCCGCACCGCTCTGCGGAAGCCGCCTCCGGCCCTGAAAAGCCGTGGCCAAAGAAATTCAACCCACGTGCCGAAAGCAGAGCCAAAAGCTTATGCGGGCCCTGCAGCCATCAGATGGTTTTTTTGGACCGGGTATGATGTAAATAAAATGGAAACGCAGTGCTCCCTTTGATTGGTGGGTCTGGTATCTTTGATTGGTGGGTCTGGTATCTTTGATTGATGGGTCTGGTATCTTTGATTGGTGGGTCTGGTATCTTTGATTGGTGGGTCTGGTATCTTTGATTGGTGGGTCTGGTATCTTTGATTGATGGGTCTGGTATCTTTGATTGGTGGGTCTGGTATCTTTGATTGGTGGGTCTGGTATCTTTGATTGGTGGGTCTGGTATCTTTGATTGATGGGTCTGGTATCTTTGATTGGTGGGGCTGGTATCTTTGATTGGTGGGTCTGGTATCTTTGATTGGTGGGTCTGGTATCTTTGATTGGTGGGTCTGGTATCTTTGGCCAGGACTATAGCATTATTGTAGGGTTCTAGAATGATGACATGAGAAGCGATCAAGTAGTGCCGGACGTCTGGGCCAAATTTGGTCCACTCTGCCCGTAGCTATGTGCAGTGTGCCGTGCCTTGGCCACACATGGCTAACACATTGTGATGTTTTCCATACCAGGAGTGGTCCCCTGACCTGGATGGCCCAAGCCAGTCACTACCTGCAGATGTGTCACTATCCTGGAAAGGACAATCACCCAAACATGTATGGATATCCTTACAGTGACTGCATTGAAGTGGATCCGAAAGTCAGGCGCTGCCATGGCTGCGGGATGGCTGTGACCTGGTATCTTCAAAACCCTATTGCACATGCATGCTATTGGTTTTAAAATCAATTTTGTTTGCAACGAATTGGGTGCAAAGGTTAAAACTGCAGTCGAACTCTTGCAAATTTGACGTATACTTAGTATGTCTTCAGATCTTTTAAAAGTCGCTTGAAAGTGATAACCGTTGCGTGCGTACTGCGTGCGTATTGTGCGCGTGTGTGTCCCTGTGTGTGTGTGTGTGTGTGTGTGTGTGTGTGTGTGTGTGTGTGTGTGTGTGTGTGCGTGTGCGCGCGTGCATGTGTGTGTGTGTGCATGTGCGCATGCACGTGTGTGTGTGTCCCTGTGTGTGCATGATTGTGTGTGTACATGCCCTCGTTTCACCGTGTTTACCAACCCTGCCTGTAGACGGTGGACATTGACGAGATAGCCGGCAAGTCGAGCAAGTACAGCTTGTGTCTGCACATCAGCGACAGCGGGGACATCCTGCGTAGCTGGCACGACGCTGAGCCACGCGTCTACGGTAGCCTGACGCAGTGTAGTATACGCAATGACGGGTATATGTATCTCGGATCGTTCAGAAACCGCGGTGTCGGCAAAGTGAAGCTGACCAAGACACTGTCCCAGGGAGGGTAATGCCGGAGTCACCATTCCATGTTTTATAAATTTTTGATTGGTAAATGTATTATCATTATTATACGCTTGTTCGCGTTGACATCACCAAGCAACCTTGACTAGTCTTCGCATAAGCCAAATGAACAAAAGAAATGAGGAACAAGCGAGGCCAATGAGGTGAACACACGCGTGCAACTGCAGAATAGGCAAAAGGAATATACATCGGTAAAAGAGTTCGATATGTTGTTGCACAGTGAATGCGGAGAAAGAGAGCGGTCTGCTCTGAAACCTCTTCCTATGGATGAAGCTGCAGGAAGCCTCACCGCTGCTACTAAATTCCATGTTTTGACACACAATTTCACTATCCCATGCCATGGAGAGTAGTGGGCCACTACCCCCGGCCCATGGGAGGGTAATGAGTCTACTAATGAATGACTCACTGTTTCATATCAAGATACCATCCCAGGGAGGCAAACTAGTCGCCGTGCCATACCAGGGGCGTTGTACACGCTACGATCTTGACCGTGCAAGTACCGCTATTTGCTCCATGTACCCCATGAATCAATAAATTCATGCCCTGATCTGGGCTCTAACATTTTCAGAGTATTCAGCAGAGACCCCCGCTCCGCAGCCTCGAGTATACGTCAGATGGCTGACCGTAGCACTCTGAAATACCTTCCGATACCCCGGGTACCCCTGCATACCAAACCACTAGCCCAGGGAGGGTCACGGTAGATCACAATTCCATTGACACGCTTACTTAACTACTGTTGCAGCTTGTCGTAGGTGTTGAACACTGTGACGTGTGTTGGTCAAGGTTACTTTGTAAACTCATTATTTGTATCATTATCTCATGGCACATGTCATGATGACGGCCAGTAAAACTGAGACAAGGGTGAAAGCCAACCACAGCAGTGAAACAGATAAAAGAATACAAATAAAAGGCATTACATCACAGTACTGGCAGGAGAGCGACTGCGCCACACTTACCACTGTTCTACTTGCATAGTGATCATGGTGATGACCTTGTTTAGTGCCTAGTGTTGCTCCGCTTTGCTATCTGTGGTACCAGCTTTTGTGCGGGATTCACAGAAGCTTTTTTGCGATGTGACTGCCGCGAAACCGGGAAATCCCCTAACCGCAGCCATCTCGCACCCACACAACTGCCGCAACTGGGCCACCGCAGAAGTTGAGCTTGGCTCAACATTTGCGATGCGACAAGCGATTTGGCGTACGATTTTGACCTTTTCTACAGCAAAGTTGTACGAAGGTTCAAGAGTTGCCTATAAATCTGTACAAGTTGTACCAAACCTCGCGAATACCATAGTGACGTACCCACCTGCATTGAACTTCGAACCGAATCCGCAAGACGTTATCGCATCGCCGACTTCTTCTGTGAATGGTATTTCGCGAGTTCGCATCGCACGCATCCGTCGCAGATCACGTCGCATCGCAAAAAAAGCTTCTGTGCATCCCGCTTTACTACTATCGGTGACATTTCTCTCTTTTTTCAAGTTTTTTGTTTGTTTGTTGTGGATTGAGTATGTATTCTTTTGTGCAGTTCGACTTTTAGTCCTTTTTACATGTACATGTACACTCCTATCTCTCTTATGTGCACCTCGAAGTCACATGCACCTTGGTCTACTGGCTGAGCACGCTGTGGGTGATACGAGTTGTAGTGGAAAGATTACTACAGTAAAAACCTGGTACTAAAGACCACCGTGACTAGCGACCAGCCTGGTACTAAAGACCACCGTGACTAGCGACCAGCCTGTTACTGCAGATCACTTCGCCAGGCACCGACGCCGGTCTCACATTCATGTATGGTTGTGCGGTGCAAACCTCTAACTAACGACCACCTGCCACAAAAGACCGCTTTCTCTGGCCCCAAGGGGTGGTCTTTAGTCACAGGTTTACTGTGCTCTTTTGCCGATTCTTGTGGTTCCTTTTATTCCATGGCTGGTAGCCCTCATTCATTATACTGGTTGACACCGGCATGTCATCCATGAATTGAGAATAACAAATAAATAATAAAACACCGTGACGTCATATGCCCGATCGGCCTCTGGCCTTTCGTCATCAAAACGTACTTGATTCAGAGTTCGGGACGTTTTCATATTTAGTTTTTTTGTTTGGCTCTATTTAGAGTGGTGTTCCAAAACAGGCCTAAACCTAATGACAATGGTCCCACTGAAGTTGGTTGGTTGGATTTATTTAAAGTCGTACAACAAACAGGCATATTTTCGAAGTTATGGTCAGTGGCCCGTCCAGGAGTCTGGACCGCCCGGATAAGAGTACACCATACTTTTCTAGACTGGTAAATTGGTAAACTGGTAAATTGGTAAACTGGTAAATTGGTAAACTGGTAAATTGGTAGAATGAAATTGAAGACACCACTGCAGCTGTACTTATGGTTGATAAATATGGTGGTAAAGACAGATATACATATATTATATCTGTCTTCGCAGATTGAGTATTTTCGCTCCTGCTCTTGTAGTAGTTGAGCACTCTCATGTGGGGTAGTGCCTTTGCTGTTTGCATTACGCAGAGCTCACTGACTTGTCAGTTTGAGCACTCTGGCAAGGTACGTTCGGGCCTGATTGGAAATTTTTATTTCCATTGCTATCAGGTTCGGCCTCATTTCCTCTGTGCTGCGCTGATGAGTTCACAAAGAACGAAACAGCATGCTGTCCGCAGATTGAGTATAATAATTATTATAATTATCTGTCTTTATAGATATTACATATCTGTCTTAACCACCATAATTTATCAACCATAAGTACAGCTGCAGTGGTGTCTTCAATTTCATTCTCCCGAGTCAAGCTCCGTATGAAGACATCCAAGAAGAAGATTGCCTGATGAGTCCAGCGGGGACGAAACGTAGATCTACGTCGCAATCGAGCTATGTCGTTGCTGTGTCATCATCTATGTGCCATGCGCTACTTGATGTACCAGCCTGCTATGCCGGATACCGCCAGCCATGCATCGACCAGGCGCCAGCGCGAACTGATGGTGGTGGTGGTGAAAAGGAGAGCTCTGTGCCAGAACTTTGCAGCCTAGAGAGCGTGTGTGGGCAGGCGTGTGTTTACCGCCATATTGCCAGGTGTGTCTTTACCACCATATTTATCAACCATGGTAAATTGGTAAATTGGTAATACATGTACATGTACAGTGTTTTGAATTTTGACTGCAGAGCAAGATTGAAGAATCTTGTGCCAGTTGTGGAACACTTGGGAAAAGCACATTCATTGGGAGGAAGGGAGGGAGGGAGGGAGAGAGAGAGAGAAAAAAAGATTGGGGTACGATTTGGGGAGGACAAAAGTGAAAACATGGAATGGTGGTCGCCACAGTCACAGATAGTACAGTGCTGTCAACTGAAATCCGACCCCCTTGCCGGCGCGCCGCACTGCGCAATGGGGTCGGATTTCAGTTGCTGGTGAGGCTACAGTCTACAGGCACCCCACTGACCAGTATCGCCATGCTGGTAATTAAAACGCACCACATGACTGTAGCCCTTCACCTGTCTTACACAAGCCGGTAGATCCGAGAATTCTGATCAACTAACGCATTACACGTACAGTGAGTATCGTTTATAAAGTGACCGGGTGTAACGATATACCGGCTATAATGATCGAACTCGCCAAAATCAAAATCAAATCACAAAAAAATACAGCTATAATATCACTATACACACTATTATCGGCTATACCGATATATCGCTTATTGTGATGGGCTTCAGGAAGCAAACCATATCAAATGCACAGGAAAATATCGTATATACTGATCAAGAGTGATGATCACAAAACAATTGTTCTTCAAATTTAGTTTATTTCTTCCAAAACTGATCCAGTGTTGCCTGGATGCATCTGGCAGCAGACGTGATTGAGAGAAAATTCTTCCCTGTATGCTGTAAGCAGCCACATGTACACGTGGCTGCTTTTCATGCTTTTTCCAGCGTGTACGCATCATTTCATGCACTGTCATGTGCCATGTGTCAGTCATACATGCAAATCGGATATAGTGATGCACCGGATATAGTGATAAATTATCGAAAATCAAAGGGGCACGTTATATCCACTATTTACTGTACATGTATGATCTATCCGACTATCCGCATTCCGCAGCTGGTGAGATGACGTGTTCTTGGTGTCGACCACCACGATGCTCCGGTCCGGTCTGGGAGATCCGGACTCCAGCTATTACGAACGCACCGTGGCCTGAGTATCCGGGGCAAGTCCCTATGAATCCTCTATAATAGTCTTGCACGTGGAGCATCATAACAGCTGTCCGACATGACTGCTCAACAAATTGACAACAATAACATGACTAAGTCTTGTTGTTCACACACGTGCACCCACACACACTCTCTCTCTCTCTCTCTCTCTTTCTCTCTCTCTCTCCCTCTCTCTCTCTCTCTCTCTGGGCTGAAGAGTCGAAGACCCTGCAGGCCTGCACTTCACAGCCCGGCCGTCATCTTCGTGACGTCTTCAGCTTATGACTTGATCGATTGAACATAAGCGCCACTCCATCACGTGCCAACACAGGGGATCTGGCTACATCTGCTAGCTGCTTGCTTGCCTTCAAGGCTTCAATGTTTCATTCATCCGTTTGCGCCTCACAGACTCAGAGATAAGGAGCATGGAAGTCGAGCTGGATCCGATCCGCGCTAGAGCTAGCTGCCTTTCTCGACTGGAGCCAGTGCATAATTTATGTTGATTCATTGTTGGGCGTGTGGAGCAGCACAACTGCGCTAACTGTCTGCACCTAGGCTATTATAGGCTAGCCTAGGTCGTTGGGGAGTTGCATAGTTTTGCCTCATGCCATGGATACTGTTGACTACTAGTACTAGTTTTTGTAGTACTTGCCCCATGCATGCAGCTGTACAGCTGTACAGCCAGTGGCAGTGTGGGTCACGGCGTGGGCACGGCCAGACCTCACCCTCACTCAGGATGTATCGGCTGGAAACTCTAGCTCTGGAGTCTGGTTTGCACTCTCCCGTCTACCATGGTCTAGTCATCCAGTGGTTTTGCCGATAGCCTCAGATAGGTGTTGATTACGTTGATGTGGATCACATCCAGTAACAAGATAATTAATTACAAGCGCACCGGGCGCGCGTCTCAGTTCACTTGCAGGACCTTAGCAGTTTATGGCCGCGGTGCTGCTCTGGACATTTGGTGCAGCTTGCAAGACCAGTAGGAACAGTTCAACTGCGTAACAAGAAAGGAGAAAGGAGAAGACTCGGGAGTCGGGTAGTTGTCCGTTACGTATGATAAACAGTTCTGCAGTGTTGGGAGCTGGAACCGGTTACCTTGTGCGGCGATATGTGACTTGCTCGTACAGTTCGACCTTGCAGCCAACGCATGCATGCGACACATGCATGCTAATGAAAGAAGAATTCAGCAGCAGTGTACTGTCTGTAGTAGTGTAATCGGATTGAGGTGATTCTGCGGGACACGTAGTGAGGTGTATCGCCCCGATCAAACCCTGGCATACACTGGTTGCTGAGTTACATCAAGGACAAGGGCTCTCGCTAGCGCTCACCAAGTATCAACGCCAAGGTAGTTGAAGTCTGAACACGAAACTCAAACTACGAGTCTAGGTAAGTACCGGTTACCATGGCTACAGCATTGGCATGGTGTATGTGATGCGCGACCAGACACACACTTCATCTGTTGGTAACCATGGTAACTAGTCTACATGTACATGTACGTTTCCTGCCTCAGGGGTGTAGCTGATCCCCCTTTTTGGGGTGTGCAGTGTGCACGGCCGCATACAATGTAAGCGGAACTGTAGAGGAGTGGCCGGTGTATGTCATCCATGGTCATTGTGCGCATGCTAAACCTACATGTAGGTCGAAATGTTTAGGGGGGGGGGGGTGCACCCCCCCCCCACCCCAAGCCCCATACGGACTACACGCCTGTGTGTGTAGTTGTTGATTTGTGGTGGGCGTCTGGATTTGAGGCTATTTTGAGCACCCGCACACACGGACACACCACGTGTGTAGGCCCGTAGGCACCGGCGGACTATGCTCGAAAAGCAGTGAAATTGGCGGAACCATACAAACCTTATGGCGGGCAATTCCTCGAATTCTGCTCCATTTCTTTATCCACATACCAAACATGCATGAAACTTACCAGAAAAAGTACCGAATTCTGCCAATTGTTCTGCCGGCATAATCCGCCGGTGCCTAGTGTAAGGATAGGACTGGGTCAGAGTACAATGTCTACATGTACATGCACATGTAGCTCTACTCTCCGCCGAGGCTCATGCATGCATGCCACCAAGAGTACATTATACCTGTATAGTGTACACACATGTACATAGCCATAACTGGTTAACCGTGTGCAACGCTCACTGCTCTTGGAGCATTTCGAGCACTCTTGGCGGGGTTTGCAGCTCTTTATAAAAATGCTTTGCTTCACGGAAACGTATTTCATTGCGAAGAGCTGCGCTTCGGTCCTCTGAGCTGTGCTGAGGAGCTCTAACAGAGCGAACAGTTGCTGTCCACAGATTTTAGTAACCATACTGGTTGTGTACTCTTGGTGTGACCATGCATAATTTAATTCATGATTGCATGACGTAATTCGAAAGGAGCTGCTTTTCACTCGCTGGTCGGGTTTCTTTGGCCGCAACTGTACAGTCATGCACTGCTATTAAGCCTATGAGCCCGCCGCTGTTGTCTCAGACTCGTCTGTCCATTACCCCCCGCCTGCATTATGTTGTGGAGTGCAGCGTGTATCCAAGCCGGCAGGCCGTGACGTCATCATGGATGCAGTGATGACAATGCTGCCGGCAGAGAAGATGGTGAAGAAGGACTGGGAGAGCCTGGAGAACGGAGATCACCTGCTGGTGCGCAAGGATGCTGGCTTCGCCGGTCTGGGGACGTTCTGGCATCATGGTGAGTATTTGCAGGGAGTTCACACAGTCACGTGACACAGTCATTGTATTCGTCATGGGACTAGAATGAAACCTGTCTAAGACGACCACTCCGGGGACGTTCAAAACGTGGTCTCTGTTACCAGGTGGTCTACTTCTCCAGGGTCAATTGACTGAAATAACAACCCTTGTAAGTCCGAGTTGTAGTGGTTTTCTACAACTGTAGGACAGGTGGTCACCTTCTCGGAGTGGTCGCTTTGCCAGGTTTTACTCTAGCTAACTTTAACCAACATGGTTGACATCATGCCACCAGTAGGAATTGGAGGGGTTCACATACTGTACATAACACATTTGTGTTAAACATGTGACTAGTTCATGCGGGGAATAACTGGAGTTGGAACCAACATGGCTACACGTACATGTATTATGATAAATGATAAAAAGATGAGAGGGAGAGAGAGAGAGGGAGAGAGAGAGAGAGAGAGAGAGAGAGAGAGAGAGAGAGAGAGAGAGAGAGAGAGAGAGAGAGAGAGAGAGAGAGAGAGAGAGAGAGAGAGAGAGAGAGAGAGGAGAGAGAGAGAGGGAGAGAGAGAGAGAGAGAGAGAGAGAGAGAGAGAGAGAGAGAGAGAGAGAGATAGGGAGGGAGGGAGGGAGGGAGGGAGGGAGGGAGGGAGGGAGGGAGGGAGAGAGAGAGAGAAGAGGGAGGGAGGGAGGGAGGGAGGGAGAGAGAGAAGAGGGAGGGAGGGAGGGAGAGAGTAAGTTACATTTATAGAGAGAGAGAGAGAGAGAGAGAGAGAGAGAGAGAGAGAGAGAGAGAGAGAAGAGAGAGAGAGAGAGAGAGAGAGAGAGAGAGAGAGAGAGAGGGAAAAAGACGGACAGACAGACAGACAGACAGACAGACAAACAGATAGACAGACAGACAGTCAGAAAGAAAGAGAAAATAAAATGCTGCATGCAGGAAAACTGCCATCGGTGATGTAGCAGGGTTCTAGCTATGTCAGTATAGTAGAGGGGGGGGGGGGGGGCAGGGGAAACTTTTACCCACAACCCAATTTTCCATTTCCCAAATGTCTTGCCATGATGATGCAAAATGCAAGGTACAGGGCGAACCGTCGACTTCACCCCGTACAAATGTGCCTCTATGAACCCTCTAGGTGGTTGTAACTATCGTCTGTATTTTCGTTGAATGGCATGGGAAAACATAAACGTCGACAAATGAGTAGGAGGGCGTCACTCTTTCACAGGGGGGGGGGGGGGCTCATTCAGAGTAGGAAGGTAATGCTCTCCCCCCCCCCCCCCCCCCCTGCCCCCCTTTGGCTAGAACCCTGGGTCACTGTAGCCATTGCTGACTCCTCTTCTCTCTTACCAAGCATGTGACTGTGTGTGGATTTGTGTCATGCATGGTATATCCAAACACAGGTCTCTATTCCAAGAAACTGAACAAAGTCATATCATTCTCCTGGAGACCAGCACCGGTACGCCCACCGGCAGACAGCATGGAAGAGGAGATGTTTATGGAGGAGGTCCTAGGGGACGATGATTCCCCCCGTGACGAGTCACTCTACACGTGGCTCAGGGAAAAGTACATGCAGGTTAGGGACACTATACACAATGCAGTCATGGCCTTGGTTAATATGGCTGGGACGTACTTGCTCCGCTGGGAGGGCAGAGTCGTCAGCGAGGATCCAGACACGTTTGAGGACGCGGAGTCCGAGAACGGAAGCGAGTTCCTGGCCATGCCCTACGGGGCAGGGTGCATCAAAGTGGACGGAGTGGAAGACTCGCCCTATCAAGAAGAGCTGACAGACAAAGACAAGGTGGCACGGATTGCCGAATGGTTCGCCGGCGATGGTGACAGGGATGTGGCGTGGAAGCGACAGTACGCGTTCGGTGCCTACCACCTTCCCACGTGGAACTGCGAAATCTTTGTCAGCTTCTGCAACACCACGCAGCTATTGCCGCAGGACCTGACGGCCGAATTCGAGAAGGGCGGCGGCCAGCCGTTCGAGCAGAGCTTTCTGCGCGAGAACGCTAGCCTGCGTTCGGTGCAGAGCGAAGGTCTGACCGTCAAAAGCATCTTCTAAAGTTAGCCAGATGGACTCGGGGACGTATCTGGTTCCCCTTCGAGGGGGGGGGGGGGGGCACGGCCGAATGATGTGTAGGATGGCTGGTGGCTGGTGGCTGGTGGCTGGTGGCTGGTGGCTGGTGCATGTCATTCACAGTCATTATGACTACCTGTACATGTACATACATGTTTACATGTTGTTAGTTGTGTGAACTATAACAAGGTTTATCTAATGCTACTACTACTACTACTGTACTACTGTGCTAGTATTGGATTGTCTAATATGTACAATCATACATGTGCAAGTGGCCAATATGCAAAAAGCATAATATGCGCCGGAAATTTTTGAGCATATTTGGGCCCTCCCTAGTATGAGCGCTGAACCCAGGTTGAAGTTTTTAGGGGGGGGGGGGTACACGTGCCCCCCCCCCCCCCCCCCCGCGCCCCCGGTGCTCCATGCGGGTTACACGCCTGGGACTCCTTACATGTACACTCACTAGCCTGTGCTGCATTTGACACTGGATGGACAACTAGGGGTCAGCGGACACTAGTAATTCTGGCAGGCATAATCGTATCAAGCATTGACTTGTGCATGAGTTTCAGACATGAGGCATTATCGCCGTGTCACATGTACTGCTTTCTGTTGGTTCATGTGGCTCTTGAATGCTGAGGACTGTATGCACTGTATTTGTCTGTGGTCACTGATCAATATTATTACAGCATTGTGCAGCCATGTCCCTTGAACACTCATATCTTGGCAGATACTCTGCGCCACGTGTGCTTTTGAAGTTTTACTTTTGTTATGATTCGACCCGGCATATGCGTTAAATAATACGAGAGATTTATCTCAGGACCCGTTGGTCGCAGCGCTTCGCGAATGGGTGCTGGGAGTTGTCTCTTGGACCTGGATATTTGGTTCGTTGAATTGGAGCGAGGTTTGACTGCGTTACGATCGTCGACCTGTTGAAGGTTCGCAAACGAATGATTATGACTGTAGAATTCTACACATTCAAGTATGGGTGGACTTTTAAAGGGTTAGAAAGCAGCGGCCAGTGGAACATGCACCAACCCAATATGCTGAGGGTACTGTAAAACATGTAATTTTAGGTGCAATTAAAATTTCGGTGCCAGAGACCAGCCGGGTTTCAGGTGTAATTTAGAATTAGGTGACCAGGGTTCCCTTCACATACAGTGCATACTCTAGTGCCTTTTACAATGTAGGTGTAAATTTTAGGTGCCTGGTTTCTCTACCGAAATCACCGAAATTAAAGAATACACCGAAAATGACATGTTTACAGTATTCACAACCAGCCGTGGAGGCAGAGCGTATTGCACAGTTCAACTACAGTGAAACCTGTCTAAGGCGACCGCTCAGCAAGGGACCGTACAACGACAGCTCAGCAAGGGACCGTACAACGACAGCTCAGCAAGGGACCGTACAACGACAGCTCAGCAAGGGACCGTACAAATGCGGTCGGACCGTCCCTATTGTACGGGTGGTCTCTTTATCCAGGGTCATTGGATTGGAAATGACCTGCATTAGTCTTGGTTTTAGTGGTCCTCTAGGACAGGTGGTCGCCTTGACAGGGTATACAGTGAAACCTGTCTAAGACGACCGCTCAAGGGACCTTCAAACCGTGGTCTCTGTAACCAGGTGGTCTCCTTATCCAGTGCCATTTGACTGGAAATAGCATCCCTTGGTCCTGGTTGCAGTGGTCTCCTGGGACAGGTGGGTCACCTTATCCGAGTGGTCGCCTTGACAGGGTTTACTGTACAATGATGCGTGATCATGCTGACTGTCTACTACAGTCCATTCATTGGAAACTGGCACCCTAACTTTTTGATGTCTCCTGTACATAGCTGTAGATATCGTGAAAGCAACAGTACATCCTGCATTGTGTGACCCGTGCAATTACTCCTTGCCACAGTTGAGGCAAGAAAAGTCCAAGAACAGGGAAATAGAAATTCAGCCAGGTTTTACAAAATTGGGACAGGTATGCCATGGCAAAATGTGTGGAGAAGCAGATCCAAAACCCAGATTTTTGAGATTTTAAGTGGGTTTTTGATCCTCAATTCGGCCCAAATCGGACTTTCAAAAGCCAGCGGTCCAGTTTCCGATGAATGGACTGTAAGCATGAAACACTCAAAGTTGCCACAATGAACTACAAGTACACTGTACTGTAGCCCTGTTCCATTGGTGTACAGTGCTGGCAACTGAAATCCGACCCCCCCCCCCCCCCCCCCGAGCTATGGGTTCACATTCTGGCGGTCTCTGTTTCGTAGTTCTACCATCCCGTGTTGGGTCTTTGCGATGTGAGCGCACCGCTCAGGGGATCAGGGGGTCGGATTTCAGTTACCAGCACTGTAGATCCACAGTCATTCACTTGTGGAGCTATAAAGAAAGGGAAAATCTGGTTCGCGGACAATAAGAACAAAATCTGAAGATAAAACATTGACTGCCACCGCCCGGCCGCTGAACTTGGACTTTCTCTAACTCACTGTAGCCAGTGTAGTACAGCAATGCTCTAGCCAGCGTAATTAGGATAAAGGAATTCTCTGATTTCGAAAATAGCTGAACACGAGCAAGGAGGGGATGGCATGGACACGGCATACCGTGATGCACGCATGGGCGGAGGACACTTGCAGAATTCAAAGAAAAATTAATAAAATAAACCTCCACGTACGTCCAGCAGTGATAATATTGAAAAAGAGTGTACACTGCAATTTTTACCGAAAACAAAACCGAAAATGTCGGTACTGTACTAGTACACTGCCTGGAAAACGGATTTACCGAAAATTCCCCTCCAGGAAACCGGAGATTTTGGAAATACCGAAAAAATTACACCACCAAAAATTTCTGGTTTACTATACTCCTACCAATAGTACCTTGTGATGAGTACCGGTAAACGTTAGCAAAGAAAAGGTTATACAGCGACTTGGTCACTACACCAACGCTGGCTGTCCATTCACCGACTGCATCAAGACAAGCCACCTTGAACAGCGGATGCCCAACGCACTCGTGCAGAAGAAGGATAAGATTACCTAAGGGAAGTCCGTCCTGCTGAGACTAACGGGTAGTCTGTGCGTTTCAACACTGCCTTTAGAGAACAGGCAAATGCTGAATTGGCTAACCATCGGAGCTGCTCCATCGTTTGGCAGCATACTCAATTGCCTGCATTCTGTGGTAGTGATTTGCTCAGTTTCAACTTGCCAATGCCCCGGCTGACGAAGGAACCCACGAACATGTGATCACCATGCATAGAACAGTGTGATGTGAACGCTAGCGTATGAGCACGTGCATCGTGCCAGGTACGAATGACGTCCCCGCTCTCAGACATGTGGACACACAGACCGTACGGATTGCTGGCCTTCACTAGCTCGTCGTATGGCACGGCCTGTCGTGTGTTCGCGTGTATGTGTACATGTGTGTGTACATGTGTGCATGCGTGTATGTGTGTGTTTTGTGTGCGTGTGTTTGGATGTGCATGTGTGTGTGTGCATGAGTCGGGAACAAACAGCATAAAACAGCACATTAGATGGACTACGAGTACCGGTACTTCAAAGTACTTGAGACGTTTGAGAATAGATCGTTGCTGGCATGCCACCGCTGCACCGCGTGAACTAAACTAGCCACCCTTGCTACCACCACATCACAATAGTGCACGCCTAAACTGATTACTTTGTGTGCATCCACATTCACACACACACACACACGCGCTGAGAAGTTTTTGATCTTGGGATAGCTTTGGGGTTTCCCCAGCGACATGTCTCGGGTTTCAGTTCGGAAAGAGTTCATGACTCATAACAAGAACAAGAACTAGAACAAGAACGACAACAACAACAACAACAACAACAACAACAACAACAACAACAACAACAACAACAACAACAACAACAACAACAACAACAACCACGACTACCCGAAATAAAACTTGGCCAAACCCTACTAGAAACAGTAACACAACATCGTCACCTCGGCATCATCTTTCAGCACGACCTAAGATGGTCAGCCCACCTTGACTTTGTGCTAAAGAAAGCTGTAAAATCTTTCAATATTCTCTTTAGGCTCAAATCAACTCTACACACTAAATCACTCTCTCTCATTTACAAAACGTATATCCTGCCCATAATTGAATATGCATGCATTGCTGTCACCCCGCTCTCAATCGCAGCCCTTGACCGTCTTGAGCGAATCCAGCGCAAGGCGGCCAGAATCTGCCTCCGTCTCCCCCTCTACACTCCTCTGGATCATTCAACACTGCTCCATCGGCTCAAATGGCCGACAATGTTCTCTCGCCGCAAAGTGAAGCTCACCCTTCTTGCTCACTCCATAAAATACCAATATGCCCCACAACACATACGCTTGCTCAACACCCCCGCTCAAGTTACGGCCCAGTACAGCCTTCGACACGCACGCACTTGGCACCTCCCACCCTCCAGAACCGATCGCTGTAAAGACTCCCCACTGTACAAGTCCCTAGAATACTACAATGCCCTCCCTGCTAGCATTCGTGACGTCTCCTCCCGACCTGCTTTCAAACAAGAAATCTGCTCACTGCTGATTAACTCAATCTGCTCCTGCAGCGCTCACCCTCTCCCATACTTGTAAAGTTCAAAGTGATGTAAATCACTTTCCAACTGTTTAACCCACAATCTCACCTTCTCATAAATTTATCTCTTATTGGCGATGGTGCCATCGTGAGAATAAAGAATTCAACAACAACAACAACAACAACAACTCAAAGTGATGTAAATCACTTTCCAACTGCATAACCCATAGCCCCACCCACGGCATCTCACGTTCTCATAAACTTATCTCTTATGGGCGATGGTGGCATCGTGAGAATAAAGAATTCACATTCCAAAACAAAAACAACAAGAACCACAACAACAACAAGGCGCTTTCCAGAGGGAACTTCAAAATCACCATAGTCACCGCATTGTGCAGCACGTGCGCACCATCGCCGAGAAGAGAACTCTTCCATTTCATCATGGGACGCCCTGCGATCTGGTCATTCAAATCCTAATCCTGTTTCAGCAAATCGCTCCCCCCCCCCCCCCCCCCTCTCCTTTCTGTCTGTCAATGTTGCAAGGCTGTCGGTGGACGGGGCTCCGTTCGCACCCTCCGAGCCCCCTCTGATTCTGTGCCTGATTCGGATTAGACTGCACAAAATCATGTGTCTAATCAGAACTGCATCATGTGTCTAATCAGAACCGGCAGAAGCAGTCCTTGATTGGTCCGGTCATACACCCATGTTATGACGTAATGCCGTACAACTTTAGCTCTACTGTGTATGCACGCACGCATATCTTTGAGAGTCTTCTCTGTCATTTACAGATTGAATCTTGTCAGTTTTTCTACTTCGTGTATTCTAACTAATAAACTACTTGTGTCTTGTCTACCGAACCTAACAGCCATAGACCAATACCCTAGCCGTTCATGCGTTGTGTATGATAAACCGGGGTACAGTCAGACCTCGCTTATCCGATCCTCTTTTATCCGGACACCTCGCCATCATCCGGAACACAATCGTTGGTTACCGATTTGCAGCATATCTCATGCATACATACAGTATGTGTGTTCGATTATCCGGTTCCCTCGCCTATCTGAATATATTTTGTGATGGCCAAAAAGTTGGTCCGGCCATGGCCTGACCGAACCGGACCGGTTCCGCCGCGCCTGTCAGACCAATCGTTGCCAACATACTTGCACAGTCAACTTCGCTTATAACGACTGCGGATATAACGACAATTCGCGAATAACGACAGAATTCCCATGCCCAGAGCAAAGTCCATTCTACCTGTATACATATAATGAGACTTCGGGTATAACGACACTTCGCGAATAAGGACACTTTTCTGATGCCCCGTCGAGTGTCGTTATAAGCGAAGTTGACTACTGTACTTACATTAATCATCAGCCGCACCAAGTAGGGCCGGTTATCCAGCAGAGTGGACTTCCATGTGCGGCCCGCCGACATGGCAACCAGGTAGCCGGAGTCCGGGTGACGTCGCACGTTGTCCGGGAAACCTGGGAGGTTCTCGGCGAGCACTTCCGACTGACCAGTTCGCTCACCAGTGATGAATATCCTGCAAGGGAGCAAGGCACGGCAAACATCGAGTACTATCATTTCAGAAATTTTCAGTGCTCAATATTTTCGGTATGAGGGCAAAAGGCCAGGTTAGGTGAACAGAAATTTTAGGTACAGAGAAACAGTTCCCTATTGGATTAAGTGCATTAGTGTTTGTTCGGTGTATTGAAGTTTAAGTTATGAAACAGATGCACCGAAAGCACTGAAAATAAAAGTACACCGAAAATTTGTGAAATTACAGTATTCGGTTCATTTTTAAAGAAAGGACCAACACGTTACATGTTTGTGTCAAACACGACAGTAAGATCGGGCGCCGTAGAACACTTGGGCTGGAAAGAATGCATGTGCAGTTTTCTACATGTTTTCCGCGTGGTGTGATCGCATCGTATGATGCTCTCCATTGCATGATGCTCTCCAGGGAATAATTTAACCGGTATCGCATCGCAGTTTGCTACACAATTCCTCTGAGGTGCGAAGCAACTTCAGAAATGCATCGCAGAAAACTGCGATGCATATTGATTTTTCACTGTACCCTATGATGCACAGTGCACATGCCGGGTATGTCTCTTACTAATTACTAAGTCTTAGGGATAAATTAGATGCACGAAATTTCGAAAATGCCGAGCTATGCATCCTGGCACTAGGCTAGGTTTGCAACTAAGGTGATACAGTGTCCTTCTGGTCTGAGCTTGCACTCTGATCAGCTGTCCAGAAGGACGGTTGTCAAATGTTGAAGCAGAAAATTGCTACGCAACATTTTTGAATTACTATTCAAGTTTGATTTTGCATAGCAAAATTGCTATGCAAAAGATTGAAAGTAAATTATTCCCTGCTCTCCATGAACACGAACAGAACGACTAACTATTAGCACACGAAGAGACGAAGCCAGTTGAAAATCTGATGAGGCCTTTCGTATCTTTACTTCTTTATAGAATGACTAACATGTCAACATTTTAGAACAAAGCTAGGCTGCGCTCTGAGCCCCTGCATTCTTCGGTGCCCGATCGTACTGTAACAGTTACTTTGAAATACAGTCAAACCTCTTTAGCAAGATGTTGGACACACACTACGGGTACACGGTAACATGTAACATTTTGGTCCTTTATTTTAATATTAATCCTTGGCTCTCCATCCGAATCTTATTCGGTTCATGCTTATTGGTTTTTCGAACCTCGTGTATTGTTGTACCCCCCCCCCCCCCCTCGTATCCAACAAGAGTGGAAGCATGGACTGGCCATATCCACTTGCAAGCTAAGTTGTCACCTCCTCAGCATTCACCAGAACAGGCAGGTCGATCAAAGTCACAAAGTTTTTGTTTCCGTGGGCAGTACTGTAAAAGCAGAAATTTTCGGTAGTGTTTTATTTTCGGTAACTTCGGTGCCGACAATTTTTACCGAAAATAAAACACACCGAAAATTTCGGTACAACCGATACTGTATACATGTAGTACTAGTACACTTACCTGGAAAACGGGTTTTACCGAAAATTTCCCTCCACCGAACCGCCGATTTTGGAGAATAGCGGAAATATTACACCACCGAAAATATCTGCTTTTACAGTACTTATTTTGTGCTGAAAGGCTGGTCTCTTCAGTGCACTACTTCTGTTGTGGACATGGAAATCCGGTCGCACGTCTAGCGGCCCCAGGGCGCTGGCCATGCTGCCGTGGCAGCGGAAGTAAGCGGTAAGAGCAGACAGCACGCGCTGCAGCGCGCTGGTCGCATCGGATCAACATGACCTTGTGCACTGCCCGCGCTGAGGGCGCCGGCCCCGGTCAATCGACTGGATTTCCATGTCCACGACAGAAGTACTTTGTAGCACATGCACTCCCATGGAAAATAACTTATTCATTGGGTTTATTTTCCCCTTAAAAGAGGCTGTGTAGAAAGCGCGATAATGAGGAATGGGGATTTCCCCCTCCATGCAGTGTAACAGTGACAAAGACAGCAGCAGCAGCAGCACATCTACACGGCAGCTCACAGGGAATGCCAAACACGGCGGTTGTCCTGTACGTGTACCTTGTAATGCGGTACATCGAGGTCTCGGTGACGATGATGCTCTTGCCATCGTGGCTCAGCTCCACACCGTTGGCAAAGTGAAGATCACGCGCAAACGTGCTTGCAGAGCCTGCAAAGGAGGAAGAGTACGGAGGAGGAAGAGGAAGAGGATGAGCCCTAACAAGATGGGCACAGCTAGCTCTTTGGATAGTGTGTACTGGTTGATAGGGGATTCACACGACGCGCAAACTCACGTGTGTGGTACTCTTTTTACCCGTGTGACTAAAACGCGTGCAAAATCTTGGTAAACTTTCTCGGGGGGTCCTAGGCCCACTTTTGTGCATTTGCGCGCGTGTAAAACCGGCGAAAGTACTTGATTATGGTACTCAAGTTACATGAGTATGCTCGAGTACACGGATGCATGAGAGATTTGCACACGGGTCTGTTGTCTGTGTGACTCCGATGGGCAGCTTGTCCACTTTTACACAAACGTGTTTTCGTTCATTTTCACGTCGTGTGAATACCCTATAACCTATCCAGGTAAATCGTTTTCATGGTGACGATAAACATGCAATAAATTCAAGAAAAGAAAACCCAGAGCTTGAAGCTTGTTCGATCCACGTAAGGATTCGATGAATAATGATACACGTAGTACTGTTAGTGAAGTGGACGCAGATGCTAGTTTCGATTATAAAAAATTAAAAATGTTTGTTCTTAGTCTGTGCGGCTGAAAATGAAGATTCCACTGCAGCTGGGCTTTCTGGGTGACTCGTATCGCAGTATAGACACACCTGGTGAAACTTGGCAGTGAACACACGCCCGCCCACGCACGCTCTCTAAGCTGCAGAGTTAACCGTCCGGCACCAAGCTCTCCTTCTCACCGCCACCACCACCATCAGTTTGCGTGTGGACGTCGTAATATTCGTACTCTATACATTTCTCCAACATGAAATGAACTTTCACAGCGCACAGCCGCCCCGAAGTCCTTTCGTGTAGGCAAGGACTTGGTGCGGCTGTGCGCTGTGAAAGTTCATATCATGACGAGGGTACAGAGGAGCTACGTCATGCTCCTTTAATTTCGAAAATTCTTCCCAGCAATACACGGTAACTGTCCGTTGCAGTGAGAGAAGCGATCGTTCTTACCCGTCACTGGGTCATACCGTATGATACGTCCCCGCCCGCCGGCACTCATCACGTCATAGAACAACTTGTCCATGCTGTACGTCGACACATCACTGAAGTACACAGCACCGTCCGGTCCGATGGCCAGGTCATCCGCAAACACCAGCGGTGCACCGTCGACAACCTGCCAGGTGCACAGGCCAACACATCAACACGTCAACACCTCGGCTATCCGGACACCGAAGTTACGGGCACTTCCGTCTATCGGGCACCCTTTGGCACAACTTTTTGTCACTTTTATTCGGAAATAGTGATGTCACATGCCATATCTATGGCCTTTCCCAATCAAAATGTATGTGATTTGGAGTTACGGACATTTCAAAGTTACGGCCAGTGCTAGGTCCCAGCCTGCCCTTGTAAACGAGGTAGGAGTGTACATCAAAGCACCAATACACCGATACCCCCTGCCGGAATTTAAAACAGGCTGATACCTGAAACCACCGATGCAATGCTGACTTGTGCAGCTCTGAGTTCATCGTAGGACACACACGCGCACGCACGCACACACACACACACACACACACACACAGCTGCTCCCTTATGCAGCTCAGTAGCTCTACATGATAATACCCATACCTGATTCTGGTGCACCAGTGTGTCCATCTTTCCGTCTAGCAACGACAGCTTCAGCAAACCCATGAATGCGTCCACGATCAACAGGCTGTTGTCAGGCATGACGCGGAGACCCAGCGGCCGGCCACACTCCGGTCTAAGCTCTCTGACGCTGCTGTCTGTGTGCGTGCATGTGTGTGTGTGTGTGGGTGTGGGTGTGCGTGCGTGTGTGTGTTTGTGTGTGCATGTGTGTGTGTGTGTGTGTGTGTGTGTGTGTGTGTGTGTGTGTGTGTGTGCGTGTGTGTGTGTGTATATGTGTGTGGTGTGTGTGTGTGTGGTGTGTGTGTGTGTGTGTGTGTGTGTGTGTGTGTGTGTGTGTGTGTGTGTGTGTGTGTGTGTGTGTGTGTGTGTGTGTGTGTGTGTGTGTGTGTGTGTGTGTGTGTGTGTGTGTGTGTGTGTGTGTGTGTGTGTGTGTGTGTGTGTGTGTGTGTGTGTGTGTGTGTGTGTGTGTGTGTGTGTGTGTGTGTGTGTGTGTGTGTGTGTGTGTGTGTGTGTGTGTGTGTGTGTGTGTGTGTGTGTGTGTGTGTGTGTGTGTGTGTGTGTGTGTGTGTGTGTGTGTGTGTGTGTGTGTGTGTGCGTGCGTGTGTATGTGTGTGGCATGGGCACAGTTGGCAGAAAGACAAATAGCGAAAAATCCACATGCAGACAACTGTTGAAGCATGAACATTAGAACATTTGGTAGAAGGACAAATAGGTGAAGCAACAACATGTAGACAGCTTAAAAAGCGTGCACATCAGAACAGTTGGTAGCAAGACAAAAACGGGTGAAACGTCAACACGCAAACATCTCTACAAGGATGAGCATCAGCGCAATGGGTAGAAAGATAATATGGACTATTGGCGTGCTGTGTGGAGTGGTAACATAACAAGTGGGGACAGTTCGTAGAAAGACAATACGTGGAAACATCACAGCGCAGGCACCTTTCAAGGTACTAGGTGTGGAGATCGGGACTATTGGACGCGCGCTCACCGCAAACCATGTCCTTGCATATCGTAGGAATTCGGTGGGAATTTCCCCACCACCACGGCATTCTGCGTCATTCATACTTCTCATAGTTCTTTCCCAGATAATTTGTTGCGATCCCCTCCCTTGTCGTTGTACATTTATTTCTTTGTTCAACTCAATCTCGTAGCATGGGCACGTAGCGCTCATACGGGGAGCCACCTCAGAGATGATGGCGGTACCCAGACATAGCATCAGCAGCTCGACGCGGATACGTCAGTAAAAACATTAAAATGATAAAATATTCATTGTTTTGAGGGAAAGATGCAAACGGGAAAAGTCTGAAGAAAAAATTGACTGTCACCACCAGGACTTGAACCAGGGACCTTCCCTTGAGGCCGGCGATGCCCTAACTACTGAGCCATGGCGTAGCCGTCATCCCAGCAGAGACTGATTATAATAACATAAAATGATGATAATAAAACTCACCGCATGCGACCTTGCCCGTATTGGCCACTAGTACAGGTTCGTCAGCTGCCGGGTCCACTTTCCAGATTTGACCGCTCATCGTGCCCGTGTAAAGCATACCTAGAGATGGGACGTGCACATGTAGAGTATACCGACGGATGGGACATGCACATGCGTAGACAGGATGTGCTATCACCAACAAATATCCGCCTTATATGTGAGCTAGCTGAGTGGCAAAATGCCCATTTATGGTTTATTTAACTTAAGTGCGCACAGAAACCCCATATATAGTAGAACTGTGAGTGGCAAACATACTATGTGACGTATATAGCATGACGTCCTCTGTACAAACACTGAACACAGTGAAAATGCTGGCACAATGTACTTGCAACTGGTTAAAGCTATCTGTACTCTATATCCACGGTAGGGAGGGCACAGCACAACAGTTTGACGCAGGTCTGTGTTTCAATGCTCACAGCACTACAGTTTGATGCAGGCCTCAAGTTTAATGCTCAGAGCACAACAATTTCATGCAGCTCTGTGTTTCAATGCTCACAGCACAACAGGTTGACGCAGGTCTCAGTTTCAATGCTCAAAAGACATTCAACCTAGCGTGCTAAGTGCACACCGCTGACAACAACGCATGCAGTCATATGCCACGCAAACTACACATACAGTCAACTTTGCGTATAACGACACTCGGCCGGGCATCAGAAAAGTGTCCTTATTCGCAAAGCGTCCTTATACCCAAAGTCTCATTATATGTATACAGGTAGAATGGACTTTGCTCTGGGCATGGAAATTCTGTCGTTATTCGCGAATTGTCATTATATCCGCAGTCGTTATTAGCGAAGTTGACTGTACACGCTATAAGGCGGCAGTAATTAACAGAGTATGTTCAGCTCACCATCATCATCCCAGGCCAAGCACTCGGCTCCGACCAGGACGTCGGGAAACAGAATCTCGGCGTCAGCTAGAGACTCGGACGAATCCGGTGACAGTGCTCCGGTCATTTCGGGCGGTGGTGGTACACTGAGAACAACAAACATAACAACATCTCTTATTGGCGATGGTGCCATCGTGAGAATAAAGAATTCAAACAGATGTACCAATAGACGTACCGTACTGTGAAAGCAGACATTTTCGGTGATGTTATATTTTAGGTAACTTCGGTGCAGACAATTTTTTTCCGAAAATGAAACGGACCGAAAATTACGGTACTACCGGTACAACTATGCATGTAGTACTAGTATACTTACCTGGAAACGGGTTTAACCGAAAATTTCCCTCCGCCGAACCGCCGATTTTGGGGAATACCGAAAATATTACACCATTACACCACTGAAAATGTCTGCTTTTACAGTATGTTTCAGAGTATAAGCCGCACCCAGGCTTATTGTCGCGACATACAGACATCGCTGCAGCCATGTTTCTCTCGTGCCAGGTCACGAGTTCCCAATTACTAGTACATGTAACTGTGGGTCGGAGAACGGCTGGAAAAAATCCTTCCGCTTCCAAGCAGGACTTGAACCTGGTACCCTCTGTTTCTCAACCATGGTTTTAGACCCCCTATGCCTGCCTGCATGGATGCAGCGAATGGGATTTTCGGTCTTTGACCACTTTGTGGGGGGGGGGGGGGGGGGGGGTCTGATCTATTCACCTCCCACCGCTTGGGAGCTCCATCTGCGGCTCTGCACCTTGATCCTAGAGGGCGGTGGCATTCCTGCAGATGCGGAAAATAAGGCATCCAGCCAAGTCTCAGGCGAACCGTGAATTTTTTATATTAATTTTTTTATACAGACATCTAGGAAAAGGTGTCTGCTTCCCACACCGGAGCTCGCGCTTTTCCGCCGACCTGACTTGGACACTTGGTGCGGGGAGCAAACACTTTTCCTACATTGTACGTAATCATGGCCGAGGTCGCTACCCCCGTCTCATACAGTCATTTACCCTGCCCTGCTTACCCTGCTTACCCTGCTTACCCTGCTTACCCTGCTTACCCTGCTTACCCTGCTTACCCTGCTTACCCTGCTTACCCTGCTTAGCACAGTTTAGGGTTTCCTGTAAAAAGGCGCTGACGCCTGTTGGGAATTCCCCAGTAAAAGAAGAATAGATAATAAATAATAAATACATAATTCATTTGACCATCGTAGGATATTAAAGCCGCACTGACTTTTGGGGGGTGGACTACAAGTGTTTAAAGTGCGGCCTATACTCCCCGGAAAATACCATGGGTTGGTCACTAAATGCTAGCCTGAGATACCATGGGCTGGTCGCTAAACCCGGCTCCGGGATACTACGGGTTGGTCGATAAACCGGGTAATAGATACCATGGGTTGGTCGCTAAACCCCGGGTCCAAGATACCATGGGTTGGTCGCTAAACCTGGCTCTGAGATACTACGGGTTGGTCGCTAAACCGGGTAATAGATATCATAGTTTGGTCGCTAAGCCCGGGTCCAAGATACCATGGGTTGGTCGCTAAACCCCGGGTCCAAGATACCATGGGCTGGTCACTAAACCCGGCTCCGAGATACCATGGGTTGGTCGCCAAACCCGGCTCCGGGATACTACGGGTTGGTCGATAAACCGGGTAATAGATACCATGGGTTGGTCGCTAAACTCCGGGTCCAAGATACCATGGGCTGGTCACTAAACCCGGCTCTGAGATACTACGGGTTGGTCGATAAACCGGGTAATACGAAACTCATAGATATCATAGTTTGGTCGCTAAGCCCGGGTCCGAGATACCATGGGTTGGTCGCTAAACCGGGGTCTGAAATACCATGGGTTGGTCGCTAAACCAGGGTCTGAGATACCATGGGTTGGTCGCTAAACCAGGGTCTGAGATACCATGGGTTGGTCGCTAAACCGGGTTCTGAGATACCATGGGTTGGTCGCTAAACCCTAGCCCGAGATACCATGCGCTGATCGCTACTGTAAAAGCCATTATTCTAACGAGGCGCATATATAACGATTTCCCAAAATTGACTAGTTTACGTGTACCAAAGGTAACGATTCTCACTCATTCTCAACGCTCAATAGGACAGTATATGTGTCGATTTCTGTATAACGATTTCTATTTTAACGACAGATTTCTCCTCGTTAAATCGTAAGAGTTAGCACTTCGTTATATATATTGCTTTTACAGTAATCCCCGAGTTAGACATTAGACGAGAACAAGCATAGACGTTTCTCCGCTCACCCTCTCGGCTGTGGATCGATGATGCAGTCGGCAAACAGCGCTAGATACACCAGGTAGCTGACCCCGCCGAGGAACAGCAATCCCAATATATCACAGCAAGTACCAAGCTTTGACCGAGATCTGCAGATCACAGCACAACAGTAAAGCAAACACAGTAAATCCACAGTACCATAATTTCACCAATTTTGAGTGTACTTTTATTTTCGGTACTTTCGGTTCCTCTGTTCCATACCTAAAATGTCAAGACACCGAACGAACACTAACACACATACATGTAATCCAATAGGGAACTGCTTCTCTGTACATAAAATTTCTGTTCACCTAACCTGGCCTTTTGCCCCCATACCGAAAATATTGAGCACCTAAAACTTCTGAAATTAGAGTATGCGATGAGCATGCCAATGTTTGTAATACCGCATGCAATTACCGCGACTGGCTGATCGCAGATGTTGAGCTTGGCTCAACTTTCTGGATGTGACATAAGATGCGCGCTGTGCGATCCGGACCTTCTTTACAGCAAAGTTGTACAAACTGGTTCAAGAGTTGCTTGTAGATTTGAACAAGTTGTACCCAGCCACACAACTAGGATGGTGACGTACTCACATACATGTACATTTGAGGTACATCGGCAAGGCGTCGTCGCATCGCTGACTTCTTTGATGAATGGCATTTCGCGAGTTCGCATCGCACGCCGCCGTCGCAGATCGCGTCGCATCGTGCATTGCATCTCAAAAATGCTTCTGTGACTCTCACTTTTATTGTGACAATCATGAATGTAGCGTGCATTCCACAGCATGCCTTTATTTATTTATTTATTTATTTCACCTTCCCGTGGCCAGAGAATATAGGCCAATATGGAGGGAGGGGGCGGTTACAGACGATCCATGCACAGTCGTGGCCAAAGACATCCGACTCACGTGCGGAAAGCAGCGTCAAGACTTATACAGCATATGCAGCCCTCCGATGGGGTTTTTCAACTCTTTTTTGGACCGTGCATGATGTAATGCATATTATGGAAACATTTGACTAGTCGTGGGTTGGATTTCTTTGGCCACGACGCATCATGGCAACTGTGAGAGCTATTCATGTGCAGCTGCACCCGATTCCGAGTCGCTGCTCATACACACTGACATGGCATGGCATTGCTGTACAGGCTTGTGCAGACTAACCGTCCACTATCGGCCCCACCTCGCCTGTTGCTGTGCGCCTTTGACGAATCACCGGACAGCGACCCAGCCTCTTCCAGAGATGCGGGCTTAGCACCTGTCCGCGTACGCCTCTCCATGGCTAGCCGGCAGTGGAAGTCTACGATTGGCGACCACCCTACACGGCTACAGTCAGTACAGAAAAGCTGAGTGGTGGCACTGCGCTCTTCAACCACTCGAAGGTATTATTGGAATTAAATTTTATTATCTTTTGATTCACGTTTCGTACTGCGGCAGCGAGGCCGGGACTCCGATTTATCCACGTCCACCCAAGCACAGAAAGCGTGAGGAAGAATGGCTGTACCTACAAAGCCTAAGGTCGTAAGGAGCAATGATTGTGTGACTATGATGTGAAGGAATGACTATGTGAGGACAGCAACTATGAGTCCAAAATGGCATTTCGCTGATTTTCAAGTCCAGAGCCGGCTAGCTAGCTGTGCACGTGTCGACCAAAGCAACAATACAACGTTACGTTACGTTTGCTGTTTGTTTGAGGTGGGGTCGCGGCCTCGCAGGCGCTTTCACATCAGATTCATTCTGATCTGATCACAGGACAGACACAGAGTCAGTACACCAGGTCGACTCCGTACCCCCCCCCCCCCCCCCCGGCCGTAGGCTTAGCTCCGATCCCGATATGCAGGCTTTATTATTCACAATAACAACAAAAAAACACACAAAAAACGACTGATGAGGTCGCGTCGACCGATATCGCGATATCGTAGTCGTTCACCCAGAACAAAGTCACAGTTTTGACATGCACGCGGCACAAAGTTCGTAGGCCGTCAGTATCGAGGATGCAGAATCAAGAGCTTGAATCGCTGACGTCTTCCATTAGCAGTGCCAGCTGTGAAGAATGTGACAGTGATGATGAACGTGGCACGCCGGACGTGCTGCCTCCTCTCCCAGGTCCGTCCAGCGACGGAAGTCGTCGCCACCAGGACACACGTCGGGACGCGGACGCAGCGCCCGCCATGGCATTAGACCATCAGGCGGACAACAGCGCATTTGCACCAGCAGCACAGGCAGCTTCAGCTACAAGTGGTGGCTATGCCGAAGACGGGGACGGCTTGCACAGACAACGACGGCGGCGTCCCCGAACCCGCTTCGCACCGTGGCAGAAAGCACGCTTGTTGGCCTTGTACGAGCTGAACAACTCGCCGAAAACCAGCCAGTTGTTGCAACTAGCCAACGCGACGAAACTGGACGTTCACATCGTGCGCATCTGGTTCCAGAATCGAAGGTGCAACCAGAAACGATGGGAGCAAGGCAGAGGTCGCGGTGCCGACCCCTATCGCCCCACGCCCACGGTGCAGTTCCACGATAGGAACCGACACTCCCCGCAATCTACTCGTGCCCTGGCCCAGGCTGCAGGATATGCGGACGTCAACGCTATGCCGCCGCTAGCGCTCTTGCGACCGCCGAGCTACGCGTCGACAGCGCCTGCCAGTGCACCCAGGACAACTAATACTTTTGCAAGACGAGCATCATTACCAACGCCGCCTCCGCCAGCCCTAGCGCATGAAAGCTGGCTGACAAAAAGCTCAGCGCGCCTCCACCACCACGTGTCAGAAACAGGCGTGCATGAAGTGGAGGTCACCAATGAGGTAGGGAAGCATTACAATGTAGATCTACAGTTCACCTGCCTGTTGATCATGATTGTATTGAAGGGACAGCACCTAGGTTATAGTGAATGGGATCGCGACAGTAGGGCGTCTAACAGTAGGTCGAAGTACACCTGGGCGCCAGACTTGACGGCGTTGCACCGTAAGGCGCGAGAACATTTTGCCGCGCATACAGTAAGGCGTATGGACCACACGTCCCCGATTAGCGATACAGAATGTCACCACTACCACAGGGCGTCCATTGCCTTTTGATTATTATTTTTTTCAATCTTCAAGTTTGCTGTGAATACAATGTAAGTTTTATCCACCTCCACATACTTCTTCTTCCTTGGTGGTGGTGCATCTCCTCCTTGTAGTCTGGCTCTTTCGGTCTCGCATGTTTGCTGCTCTGACTTAAGAACTTCGATGAATTTCCAGAGAGTCGGATGACAGCAGCTTGCGGACGAATTAAATCTTCTATGCCACGCTTCGGGGCAGTTGTTGCTTCTTGGTTCGTTCTGGATCGTACGTTCATGGACGTTCCAGAGTGTTATTGGGAAGGACGGAATCCTTCGTGGGCCGTCTTGAACTTCCTCTCCAATGTAGTAACGTTCAAAGTACCGAAGGAGTTTCTGCTCTCCCTCGGCATAGGTGCCTGGAAACCGTGGCTTGAGAAGCTCCCAGTATCTGACAACATCCCCTTGTGGTACGAACGCTAAAGCAGATTTCATTCGCACCAACAAGGAAAACTCTTGGTCTTGGCTGTAGGGTACTTGGAGGCCATACTCTTGTACATGCTTGTAGATATTCTGTGCCAAATGGAAAAGACATCCTGTTACTCTTAGCAGTGGATACGCATGCTGGAAGGCCTGAATAGCTGGCTTCTCGAAATCTGAAAGGAGTTGGTGTGGTTCAAAGGTATCTCGTAGCGTTGCGAGGGCAGCAAGCAACCGGTCATACGTTACTCACTGTTTGTCAGGTAATAGGGCATACACGAGCGGAAATACCTGACCGTCACAGCGAGCATGGATTGTGTATAATTGACAAAATAGCTTGGGGACGCTCTTGAAGGTACCATCCACGTACCAGCTTTCGGAGGTTTCGAGTAGATTCAGATTCTCGTCTGTACTGAACAGAAGAATCCGGTCTTCTCCAGGTCCGCTGTCGAACATCAGAAAGTTCTTGTTACTTGCTGTCAATTTAAATTGCTCCGGGAGAACAAGTTCTTGTAAGTTTCTTGGATTTGGAGGAACATTACCGGCAGCAAGCCGTTCGCGCTGGATAGATTTCTTAAGGGAAGATGCCTTAGGTAACGAGGATAGGCAATCAGCAAACAGATCATTCGTTGCAGCTCTCAGAACGGCACTCGTTGGCTCAATTGTCGTTGCGGCCCTTGTCCGTAGCTCCTCCTTGGCTTTCTCGACTGTGACACGCGTCGCATCCGGTGGGTGGCAGTGGGGAACGGTCTTGAACACGTCATCCCTGACAGTTTTACAGCGTCCCTTGCATTCGCCTCGCCGCTCACACCTCCAGTAAGTCGTGTCCTGTAGTCCGTCCTTGTCCTTGGTGTACGAAAACCCCTCATGGATGAGGAGTCTTCTTCTTCTTTGTAGTAGATAAGTGAATACCATCGGCTTGAGCTGCCATAGTCAGATTCGGTTATCGGTTATGACTAGAAAATCAGAACATTGCTTGCGATATTTGGGGGGGGGGGGGGGGGGGGACGTACCTGTGTTTTATTCCGAGGTGATTTGTTAAGTTATTCGACATGGGTCGACATTATACAGTTTAGCGCCGATTCGTCTCGCCTCCGACGTGTCCCAACGCATTGATGTCTCAGTGCCCTCGTGTCTCAGCGCCGTGATGTCTCAGCGCCCTCGTGTCTCAGCCGTATTATCTCTAATAATAATTATAAGCACAGTCTCCAATAATAGCACGTCTCCAATAATAGAACACCTTGGGGCGGCATTAAAAATAAAGTGCTCAGTCTCCATTATAAGCACACTGTGTAAATTCATTATCTGTACCGGCGAAAAAAAACCCTGAAATGTGTGTGTCTGACATGAATTTGGCATGGCAACATGCCTCTGAAATGAGGTTGAAATAATAATGGAACAGTCTCCAATAAAGGAACGTCTCCATTAATAGCACGGGACGGAGGTACATTTAAAAAATAAAGGACCGTGCTTATATTAGAGATAACACGGTAATCACTTTTTGTTCCACCGGATTTTCGTTGGTATTGAAATACCGTATTTTCCTGAGTATAAGGCTGTCATCACACTACGTTCTCTGACTCCCGCTCATGTCTACGTCTGTGGTGAAAAATCCTAAACGGGTAGTCGTGTCATCAAGCAGGCATAGTTCTTGACCCGTAGACGCGGTCACGTTTTTGGAGAAATTTGAAGATTCAAGCGCTTGCGCTTGAATCTTCAAATTTCTCCAAAAACGTCTACGTAACGTCTACGTCTCCCGTTTCCTACGTCTGTGGTGAAAAATCCAAAACGGGTGGTCGTGTCATCAAATGGGCATAGTTCTTGACCCATAGACGCGGTCACGTTTTTGGAGAAATTTGAAGATTCAAGCGCAAGGCCTACCACGTCTACGTCTCCCGTTTCCTCTGCTCCCGTTTTCACTCCGTACATGGATCATCATGACAACCAACCAAAAACTCCTAACGTGGACGTACACGCAGCGCTTTGTACCGTGGTGTGAAGACAGCCTGTAATTTATAAAGCTGCACTTTGAACACTCAACAATTCCCCCCCCCCTTCCCCCCCCCCCCCCCCCCCAGCGGGTGCGGCTTATACTCTGATGCTCAAATTAACGGTGGTAAATAGGGTAGATGTCACTGTAGGTTGTATTCGTGGCGGGGGGGGGGGGCTTATACTCCGGACAATACCGTATAGGATAAGTGGTGAGGTGGCGCCAGGCTAGTTTCACAATCGCAATAAACAATATACTGTATAGGCTGGATCAACATTACTTTTCTTGTTTATCATATCCATGATGTGAAGCGTGCGCGTGTAGTTGCCGGCGCATTTGTCCCATGGCATTTCCCTGAACGATACTGCTCCGTGATGTACACAAAGTCCGGAGTGATTATGGCATCTTGAAGCCACCAATGGAGGTTACTATAGTGCTGCTCAATGAAATCCAGTCACGTCACTTAACTCTGCGCCGGGCGTTGCGCAGCCCTAGACCTGCGAACACTGGGATTCGAAATGGTGCAAGGCGCAACCTTGAGTGCTGCGACTGGATTTCATTGGTTGGTTGGTTGGATTTATTTAAAGTCGTACAACAAACAGGCATATCTGCCTCCTTATATGAAGACGACTTCTGGCAGTAAAACATTTAAAAAAGAAAAAGAGAAAAGAAAAAAAAAGAAAAGATAATTTCATTTCATTGAGCAGGACTGTAGTATGCTGTTATATCATTAGTTGAGATGCTTTGGCAAAGTCGTGGCACAGCGTGTGTTAGCGATGCACTAGCGGCTCACTGTCCTATACGAGAACATACTGATACTATGCATGCACATGTACTAACATAGCGGCCGTGAGCGGTTCCTTTGTGCGCTTAGCACCCGTAACTGATTCCGGAAATCTGCCTGACTCATCGTCATGACGTCTCACGCATCGCCTCTGTAACATTGGGGTTGCGCGAATCCGGTCATTGTACTGGTATAGTCAGACCTCGCTTTATCCGGTCCTCTTTTACCCGGATCCATCGCCATCCGGAAGAAAATAGCTGGTTACAGATTCACAGCTTATGTGGTGCATCCAACATAACACACACTCCATATTAAAATTAAATTTCACGGTTCGCGTCAGACTCGGCTAGAGGCCGAGTTTTCCGCATCAGTAGGAACGCCACCACCCTTCAACGATCAAGGCGCAGATGTACAAGTAGCTCCTAAAGCGGTGGGAGGTGAGGAGGTCAGACCCACCAAAGTGGTGACCGAAAATCCCATTCACTGCATCCATGCTCCCCCCCCCCCCCCCTGTGTACATTATTTTGCAGATAACAAAGTCAAGACTTAGCGAATAATTTGAATTCGTTGGATTTGAACGTTCGTTTAGTAAAAGTGGTCATGCAGTAGTTTGTGAAGTTGATAGTCCTCTTGTCCGTCTGCATGTGCTCCTCGTCTGTGTCTGCAGCTTTACCCACGCGAGACATCAGTGCTGAAAAACCCGGCCGCCTGCTATCGCATCCTCAGCGATCTGACTCCGGAACAGGCGCAGGGCCTGGAGCGGTGGGCACGGACGGTCCTTGGGCTGAGCCACTAACTCGCATAAGACGGTGCTCGATAAGACGGTGCAGTTGGTATTAAGGGACTCTGGGGACCTGAAGAGGCTAAGGAGGATGGCAAGCAATCGGAAGGAGTGGGCACAACCTACCGGATGTATCCACGAACACACTCTCAATCACTGTGTTGCGCAATTCCGTTCGACTATTATTTACGCACGTTGTTGTATTTGGTTCTTGTCTCATAGAGTCCAGTGTCTCATGTCGTATACTGGTCTAATAGTGCGAGTATGGTGCGATGTGTGACTGTTGGAGAACATGCACTCCACGCCGGCTTACGGCCAGTTCACTCACAACACCACAGAGCTTCCAAGGAAATTAGTTATTCTTCTAGATGGAAAATGAGAAACGTCTGTTATCACCACAAGTTGGAACTAACTCCACGCCAAGATCAAACGGAAGCTAAGCCAGAAAAAGAACCATGGCCAGCTTGCAAAAAGTAACGCGTAGCAAGCGTGCACGCAAGCACACTCCATACATAAGTCAGGATGCACACAAAAGCTACAAACTCGGAATAAGGGCAGCGCAGACCACGCCGAAACCGCAACTAGAAGATTGACCGCTGACAGGTCAATCAGTGAATGGAAAAGCATGCACCACCGCACGGACGCGCACTCACTAACCTACTATCAATACACGGAAAATGGCATCACGCAAAAGGTATACCAAGCAGAGCATGCACAAGTAACAATACAGTTCCAGCCAGTGGCTGCCACGTTACCATAAACTACAACATCTCCCTCCCTGGTAACATCACCTTAAAAAGACAATAATAGGCAAGCACATCGAAAGAAGCAAAGAGAAACGAAAGGACATGAAAGTTCTGCGAACCATCACCAGCTACTAGTTCTCAGTCGTATCTCACTGGAGCCCTGATACCAGCTCTGTTCCGGAGCACATATCTTGGCTCTTCAGCTCTAGGCACACCTGCGACTAGCTCACCGGGCTCTAGCCGCATCGGGTAACCACCGTCATCCTCGCTCGCATCATCTGGCTGAGGCGGCTCAGGCAGGTCTACAGTAGGATTGGCTGCGGCACGCTTCAGCAGCTCTACGTTGACGATCTTCTCCACCCTGGGGTCTTCCACTTTCTGAACGACTACAGTCGACTCCGACAACACCTTCTTGACTCTCCAGCCAAGCTGAAACTTCGGGAGGCGTTTCTGCGCGCGGCTGGTCATCTTCATCATCACCACGTCACCAGGCCCGTAACAGCAACTTGCTTTGTCGGCGTCTTCTTGGGAATCAGCTGACGCCATTTCTTCATCGATCAAATCACGAATGGCAGCTGCTTGACGCTGCAGCTCAGCCGTCCATGCTGGCAAGGTGTACAGGGGCTGTTGGGCCTCTACAACAAGACCACGGGGCTGCCAACCAGTCATCGCTAGCTGAGGCGAAACTCCCGTTGCTCCATGCGGTCGGACGCGATAGAAGTACAGCAGCATTGACAGGTCGGTCTTCCAGTCGTTGGACTGCGAGTGTACTTTGCGAATCAGAGTCAACAGGGTCCGGTTGAATCTCTCCACGCTTCCTTGTGACTGAGGGTGTCGCACTGCACCGTGCTTGACTTCCACTCCAAACGCCAAGTACAAGGCGTCCATGACAGCATTGACGAACTCTGTTCCGTTGTCTGATCTGACCACCTCCGGCGGACCCCATCGGCAGCACACAGACACAAACGCCTCGGCAACTGACTTAGCGTCATGGTGCTTCAAAGGTATCACCTCCACATAGCGCGTGAACATATCCGTACACACCAAGACGCAATGGAACCCAGCTCGGCTCGGTCCTAGCTCCAAGGTATCAATCGCCACAACTTGCCATGGGCGCGCCGGCACTTCGGGACGTGTCGGCGAAGCATGACCACCAGCAGCAGGGTTTGCAGCGGCACAACTGTCGCAAAGACCGACGAACTCCTGGCACTTCCTTGCCATCCCAGGAAGGTAGCACTGCTGACGCATCATCTCATGGACCACCTCCCATGATCCGTGGCCAGTGTTCTCATGGGCGATTCGGAGGGCATCTTGCTCTAGCAAGCTCGGAATCACGGGCACCTCGCATGCTTCATTGGCAGGCGGCAACTTGATTGACCGATACAGCACGCCATCCCGCACTCTCAGCTGTGGTGCCACCTTCTGAAACTGCTTCGCCCTAACTGTCTGCATACCGTTGACATCCTCCACCGTCTGCTGGATGGCAGTATCTGCTCCCTGCTGGTCCCGGATGATGTCGAAGGCAAGTGGGGCAGAACTGTGGACACCTGCACACGCACTGCTCTGGGTCGCCGCCGCAACCACCGGTGACTCGGGCATCTTGAGCCAGGATGCCGGCACACGGGTCAGACGGTCAGCCAGGTTTTTCTGTGAAGGCACCCACTCGACAGATATCTTCAACTTGTAAACCTCGACCAAGTCGTCAATCAGCTGCAATCTACGCTCTACAAGAGCTCTGTAGAGGCCATTCACCTTCACTCGCTGGATGTTGCCCAAGAGAGACTTTAGCCATCCATGCACCGTCTTCGAATCGGTCATGACTCGAACGTTGGCCACTCTGTGATCCACGACAGCAGACAAGCCACGAAGGACGGCGTCTAACTCGGCAACGTTGATGTGCCGCTTGTCTGACTTAGGCCTGAGCCAACAGTGATCCTCAATCACGGAGCCATCTTCGCTGATGACAACACCTAGCGCCAGGTTGGATGCATCGCACCATAGGGACACGCCACCAGTCGACTTGACTGTCCACTTGCCGTTGACGGGATCCTCTCGTGAAACTTGATCCTCCACCGCACGACACAACTTCTCGAGCGCAGCTGAGACAGGCTTATCCCAAACCGCAGCATCTTCACAGCTCACTCGCTTGATGTAGCTACAGCACGGTCGCAGCCACGATGCAACAGGGTAATGACTCGTCAATCGACCGCACCAGGAGAACACTTCTCGCTTCGTCGGCTGCTCTGGCAACGTCAGATCCATGCCATCACGGCGACGCCACATCACGTCTTCACTCGACGTAGCAACCGATAGTTGCATGCCAAGCACCCTTGCGCCGGCAAGTACCTCTGGTGGCTTCGTCGGTAATCCGTACCGACTCAGCGCCGCAGTCACCTCCGGAAGTTGTTCGGACGGAGCAACGACATCGTCGACATAGTTGTCTGCATCAGGAAAGTCGCACAGCGCAAACTTCACGATGGCGTCCATGACTTTCGGAGCTATGCTGAGACCAAATGCCATTCGTTCCATGACATACGTGACTCCATTGAATACCACGGTCTGATACCGAACGAGGCTGGGGTCGACGTGAACTTGTAAAAACGCCTTCTTGATATCGACGACTACCTGGTCACCGCCACGGCGTCTCCACTCCCTGATCTTCTGGTCGCATGCAGGCGCGTCGCCTCCAGGATGGGAAAGAATCGCCTCATTCAAACGACGGTAGTCTAAGCAGGGACGTACAGGCGTAGACGCCTTGTGTCCTTGACACACAGCCATTAGAGGGAGGATCGCACCTGACTTGCCGTGTCGATCTGGATCATGGGGCACCATCCAACCATGGTCGATCCACGACTGCACCTCCTTCTGGTACTGTTGCTCCTGCTCTGCAGAGAGCTTCTTCCGTGAGTACTGTGTCACTCCGGAGCCAATGCTATCAGTCGGCTCTACACCACCTCCCCAGACCCAGGCGACGGTCCACGACTTTGCACTATTGTCCCAGCGCACCTTGAAATCGGCTGAACTGAGGGTGACACCATCCGAATCTCGCTCAACAGAGATGTGCCTCGAGAGCTTCTGCTTCGGCGCTCGTTCAGCATGGCCAGCTGCGGCAGCCGCTACATCGGGCCCTTTTCCGAACCGAATAGCACTCGCCGAGCCATTCTGGTAGCGTATCTCAAGACCACCAGCCGCGCTGGCAACGTCATTGCCAAGAATCAGGTCAGCATCCACTCCCTCATGCTTTGAAACTACCAGGAAGTCCACGCACAGTTCCGGAAGCTGAACTATATCATCATGTTGCTGGACAGTCGCAGCAACAGATCCAACTGACTCCAGGGACGTGCCGTCGATGCCGACCACCCAGTCAGTTGTCGATTCCACCTGATCAGCCAGGCCCACGGCAGTTACTACACTCTCTTTCATCAGAGATCGCGTGCATCCAGTATCCACAACCGCTGCGACTGATATCCAAGAGTCATCATGGCCCTTAACACACACATCAACTTTCAGCAGCTTAGAGCTCTGCCCACCAGTTGATATTGGGATTCCGTCAGCATCAGTAGACACTCCAGCCTGACAATGCCCAGCACTCACAGCCACTGAAGCAGACTCAGTCTTGGCCTTTGGACAATTTCGCCTGATGTGGCCATACTCTTTGCAAGAGTAACACTGTGGCCCTCGTGACTTGCCAGTGGTGTGGCTGTTGCCCTTGGCCTTAGGGCAATTCCTTCTTACATGACCAGGCTCCTTACATGAATAGCACTTGACAGCTGCAGCCACGGACTTCCCTCCACTGACACTTATAGTATCATCGACGGACATAGCCCTGACACGTTTGATCATATCGGTAAGAGTCATGCTACCGCTACAGTCCATTCAGAAAAAAATGAACTTCTAGCTTTTGGCCATAAATGGGTCAAACTTTGAGTTTTTTTAGAATTTTTTTCTGCAATCCCATATGGAATCCTCTTCCAATTATGTTTCTGAAGTTTTTTTGTCCAAAAAGCAAGCCATAGGAAGAATAGGATTTCGGCCAGGTTTTGCCCCAAAAGCACTGAATTGGGAAAAACCATCAAAATCCAGGCCGTTTGACCCCGCCTGCAACAGTGCATTCTGCGGTTCGAACCCCAGTTCAGGCACCCTTTTTGGACCCTTTTTCAAATTTCAAAGTTCGCAGCACTGCACTGTGTACGATGAAATCACGAAAAATCGCCAAATACGGGAGCTCGCCAGAGCCAGGACCCATCTTTTTATGAATGGACTGTAGAGCACTGGATTCTCACCTCTCTGGCGAAGTCTCTGGGCAAGCCCCCAACAAACTGTTCTAACAGCATCGGATCTTTGTCGTCCGCAATGTTGTGACCAGAGCTCTTCAACAGCCTCTTTAGCTCCGCCGCATACTCGTCTACTGACTCTGTGGATCCCATGGAACGCGCTTTGAACAAGCGGTAACACTCCGCAGCAGAAGGAGCAAAGGCTTCAGTCAACACCTTCTTCACCTCGTCAGGTTTCTCCTTGTCCGCGTCGGGCATGGCGTTGAATACAGTATACGCAGCCTTATCCAAGAGCAACGGCAAGTTTGCCATCTGCTCTTTGCCCGTATCCCACTTGTGGGATTTCGCCAGGATCATAAACTTTGACCAGAATACATCTAGGTCGTCACCTCGCCCTCGGTACGGACGCATAAATCCATCCAACTTCACAGACATTTTATTCTCATGAACAAACACTAAGACTTTCTATTTCCTTCCGACTCCACAAAAGTCCTACTCTGCAACACGTTGTCCCGGGTTTCGGCACCAAAAGCTGTTGGAGAACATGCACTCCACGCCGGCTTACGGCCAGTTCACTCACAACACCACAGAGCTTCCAAGGAAATTAGTTATTCTTCTAGATGGAAAATGAGAAACGTCTGTTATCACCACAAGTTGGAACTAACTCCACGCCAAGATCAAACGGAAGCTAAGCCAGAAAAAGAACCATGGCCAGCTTGCAAAAAGTAACGCGTAGCAAGCGTGCACGCAAGCACACTCCATACATAAGTCAGGATGCACACAAAAGCTACAAACTCGGAATAAGGGCAGCGCAGACCACGCCGAAACCGCAACTAGAAGATTGACCGCTGACAGGTCAATCAGTGAATGGAAAAGCATGCACCACCGCACGGACGCGCACTCACTAACCTACTATCAATACACGGAAAATGGCATCACGCAAAAGGTATACCAAGCAGAGCATGCACAAGTAACAATACAGTTCCAGCCAGTGGCGTTAATGGAATGTGGTGCATGCAAGAGTACGCGTTGTCAGAGTGTGAGCATCTGCTTCCGTCCGTGTGACTGTCAAGTGAATGCTGTACATGCGCAGTGCTAGTTTGGTCTGGGAATGAGAGTCATGTGTGATTCGTCCGTTGTCTGGTTGTCTTGGTCTTGGCCATGTGTTCTGTACGTATTGGTCCCTGATTGGTCGTCCCGATTTGTCGTCGCTTTATTACTGCTTGTTCTTTGTTGTTTCTTCGTGTCTTTTCCGTTGTCTTTTTGTCGAGTCTTGTTTTCGTATTTCTCCTCCTGCACCCTCCTCGTTTATTATTGAGAGTTGAATACTAGTATTGAAACTATAACCAAACGGTGTGCTGTTGTTTGGCGGGGGCCAGGGGGAGAATGCTATTTTGATTTCAACTGTATGGTATACTTTGCTTGCACAACTGATGTCATACCGGGAAGTTTCTACTTCCCTACTGGACCCTAGCACAATCCTCCTCACCATGAGGTTTTATCCCTATACCCAACCCTATTGTACGGAAGCGATTCACCGCAAACAAGTCGATGATAACGAATACTAATACTAAGACGCGTTGTCAGAGTGTGAGAATCTGCTTCTGTCTGTGTGTGTGTGTGTGTGTGCGTGTGTGTGTGTGTGTGTGTGTGTGTGTGTGTGGTGTGTGTGGTGTGTGTGTGTGTGTGTGTGTGTGTGTGTGTGTGTGTGTGTGTGTGTGTGTGTGTGTGTGTGTGTGTGTGTGTGTGTGTGTGTGTGTGTGTGAGTGAGTAATCGCCAAGTGAGTGTCATGCACGCGCAGTGCTAATCAGTGGCGCGTCCAGGATTTGGCTGAGGGGGGGGGGGGGGGGGGTGCGGATGGGGTGGGGGTAGATGACATCATGCTACTGTCCCAAGTCAGCCATTTTGAAAACCGATGTCAAGGAGCCGTAAATCTCACACTCCACGAACAAATTGTATTTGAATGTATTGGACGATCGTTTCAGGCCGCGCCCCCAGCCCTGCCTTTCATTTTTCGAAACCTAGGTCAAAAACTTCTGAGGGGGGGGGGGGGTGCGCGCGCGCCCCGCGCACCCCCTAAACCCGCCACTGCTAATTTGGTCCCGGGGAGCGAGAGTGATGAGTGATTCGTCCGTGATGTCGTTGTCTTGGTTTTGGTCATGAGTTCTATACGTATTTGTCCATGGTGTAGCACAGGCTTTCCCAGGAGAAGGACTCAAGGGCCCGTATAGCACGCCTCTGCACACGGTCGAGTTGGGCCAGGTGGTTGGATGCAGCTCCCATCCACACCGGCAAGGGGAGCATAGTGATACTCAAGGACGGGTCCGACAAATCCCTTATACGCACAAAGCCGGCCATGGTAATCTAAAACACGGCAAGCCCCACGGAGAACCCCCAGTCTCTGGCAAGATCTTGCAAGATCCGGGATCCCGGAATGACAGTACAATTCACTGCATGGAATCCCATTCAATGAATGTTTACTTATACAAACACATGATTGATTGTATGACCAATAGATTGAATAGTTGTGCCCCGGGTACGGGTGTAGATCTACCTAGTTGAAACGCATCATGTAAACCAGGGAGTAGGTATTTGTACTACTCCCTGATGTAAACACAGCCCATTGGCATTGGTATGACCAAGAGTATCCCCGCCGGGGCCGGGTTACCCCGGTTATGTACTCTTGCCTGACAGGTCGGCTAGGCCAAGGACAGTAAAATAGGTGTGGTGGTGTTGCAGGCAGGGAGTAGTACAATATTGTACTACTCCCTGGTTGCAGGTGGCCTGTCAGGAAGGATCGATCGAGCGACTACAAAAACTGCAATTTGCTGACGTGACATGCACGAGATGCAATACGGCGATACGGTACGGGGCTGTCTGGTCCCGTACCGTAGTATACCAACCGTAGATGTCGGGATCGTACCACACATCGTAGATAGATCTACGGTAGATATCGAGGTGACGCTGTACGCACGTCTTGAAATCATGGGCAAGTTCAAAAGTGGCACAGGTATAATTTCACAGAAATTTCCAACACAATTTCTTTCAGGTCGAGACTAAACTGTCGTAAGTAGTTTGTTGTTCTGGCAAATCACTGACCAACAGATAGGGAACGTCGGAAAGTGGCCGGCCGGCTTCCGGAAGGTTTCCGATTGCGAGCAGCTGACAACATAGAATTTATTTTCGGCCATTGACAGCGTCATACGGGTAGTTCGTTGACAGCACACAGGAACTCCGCTCAGCAAGCAAGTAAGAGACGACAGTAATAATGTCATAATGCACCATGCGGAACCAGGCGGGAAAGTAGCGAGGAAGCTGCAAATGTTTGCACTGGATGTGCCCAAAGGCCATGTCAGTTGTTTGCGATCATTTGTTCATAATGTTTTTGTCTTGAAAAGGTCGGGGGAATTGGGGGCTGTGCACGTGCTACGTAGTGCTGGAGTCATGTGACGTGAGCGCACTGTACTACAAGATGACTGAGTGGCGAGTGATCAAGTCCCAGTGGAGTCCAGATACCAGTACATTGAGGTATTACTACTGTAAAAAGTAGAAATATTCGGTGGTGTTTTATTTCCGGCAACTTCGGTGCCGACAATTTGTGCCGAAAATAAAACGCACGGAAATTTCGGTACTACCGGTATAACTATACATTTAGTACTAGTACACTTCCTTGGAAAACGGGTTTCACCGAAAATTTCCCTCCGCCGAACCGCCAATTTTGGAGAATACCGAAAATATTACACCACCGAAAATTTCTGCTTTTACGGTAGTACCTGATATACAGTCAGTACTAGTATCAGGCAGTACTAGTATGGCATAGACACTACAGTCATGCTGTCATGCGGTAACGGTACTGTCGGGCGCCGAAGACTGACGGAGCGCCGAAGAACGACCAGCGGCTAGAATTTTGGCAGTACAGCATACAATGTACCAATAATATATACACGGCTAGAATTTTGTAGGGGAAATGACCGAAATGTTCTGATGATGAGAGAGTCACAGATACGTGTGCAGTGCACGACTCCTACATGCATCTGATACGTCAACAATTTGATACGACTTATTCACGCGCGTGTGTGTGTGTGTGTGCGTGTGTGTGGTTGTGTGTGTGTGTGTGTGTGTGTGTATGTGTGTGTTTTTGTGTGCCATTCTTATCTCATCATCCCCGTACAGAGGAGTTGTTCAGCAGCAGCAGCAGAGAGCCTAATCACAATGGTCTACTGGAGTACAATAATCGGTGTGCTGTTCGGCATCTACCTAGCATGGCCGTGTGCTTTTGATCCACAGGAATTTGTGTAAGCGCACCCGCTGTCTACTTCACAGGCCAGGCCTCTGTGTGTGTGTGTGTGTGTTTGTGTGTGTGTGTGTGTGTGTATGTATGTGTGTGTGTATGTGTGTGTGTGTGTGTGTGTGTGTGTGTGTGTGTGTGTGTGTGTGTGTGTGTGTGTGTGCGTGCGCACGTGTGTGTGTGTGTGTTTCCTTTTGAATCTCTCCCCTCTCACGGGGAGACCCACGTGACCAGTTTGGCAGTAAACAAGTACGAGTAAAAGTCTGTCTATCTGTCTATCTGTGTCTGTCTATCTGTCTGTCTATTTGTATGTCTGTCTATTTGTATGTCTGTCTATCTGTGTCTGTCTATCTGTCTGTTTGTATGTCTGTCTATCTGTCTGCCACGGTCTGTCTATCTGTCTGTCTGTTTATATATCTGTCTATCTATCTGTCTGTCTGTCCGTCCGTCTGTCTGTCTGTGAATCATGTCCAGTACGGGCAATCCACCAGCGCTGAGCGGAGCATACAACCCGTCCAAGTGCAGCTTGAAGGCCGATACACGACAGCGTCTGCATCTTCCGCAACTGGTCGGACCCGAGTCGCTGGTGTTTGATACGAAGGGTAAGTTCAAGTGTTTTGTGAAGTTTTTTTCCTGTAGCTGAAAAGAACCAGTTACCTTTCAAAGTGGTGATCTAGCAGGATGTTATGCTCATTACGGCATTTAACTCACTCTTCGGTGGAGACTCGCGTGACCAGTCATGCCAGTCAGCAAATACAAGTGTCTGTCACTGTGTGTGTGTGTGCGCGTGCGTGCGTGTGAGCACGTGCACGTATGTCTGTGTGTATATCTCCACCGTGTATCTGTATCTGTGTGTGTGTACAATTGTATCTCTATGTGTGTGTGTGTGTGTGTGTGTGTGTGTGTGTGTGTGTGTGTGTGTGTGTGTGTGTGTGTGTGTGTGTGTGTGTGTGTGTGTGTGTGTGTGTGTGTGTGTGTGTGTGTGTGTGTGTGTGTGTGTGTGTGTGTGTGTGCGTGCGTGGGTATTCCCCTCTGTACAGGTAACATGTATGCTGGAACGCTGTACGGAGGTGTGTACAAAGTCTCCTCACTCAATACACCACCCGTGCTGTTGACTACTATGAGAACTCTCAAGTGTGGTAAGCTCGAGAAGTATTGTGATGTTCACACATACATGGGGTTTCTCGGCACTTGTGCCAGTGGTTGTGAGACTTATCCACTCACCCCCACCGTTAGGCGCTGCATCTGCTGCTAGAGTTTACCGGGTGTTAGCGGCCGTCGTGAGTTCCCTTCGGGAACGGATACGATAATTTACTTTACTTTACCTGCATACAACAGCTGGAGTGGAGTCTTCCCTCTCTTTCTCTTCAACTGCAGACATATACAAAAAAAGAATGGACTCAGATGGAGAGCCAAGGATAAATTTATAGAAAGGAAAGGGACCAAGGAACTGCAAGCTGCGCTATAATGTCCGCTACCACCAGTGTTATAGCATGAGCTGATTGTTTAGTAACTGCTGGTGTTAGTGGACATTATAGTGTAACTTGAAATTCCTGGGTCCTTTTTCTTTTCTACAAAAAAAGAACGCACTCTTGTCACAATTATCAATGGAATTCGTGACCATAAAAAGGGAATGATGAAACTACAATAGGGTTTATACAAAGAGTTGGTGGACAAGCTATTGGTTAGCCTCTCTCATTGTAATATCCAAAAAAAAGTATTCTTTCTACTATTCTAGACCAAGAGTGGTATAATTATATTATTAATAAAGATAGAAATGTAAAAAAGAGAAGAAACACATGAGAACGAGTTATGCAGCAACTATCCACGACTGTAACAAGATGATAACGGTCAGAAAGTGGGATAATAGGGCACAAAACTGACAGGCTACTGAGACATTTAACGACCATTACTGGCTCAGTATCCGAGTTTAAAGATAGAAATATTTACGATACTTTTCCAGACGTTTCGTTGCTCTGAACAACATCGTCAGTGGATAAAGAATGATGAATTATTCACTTGGAGTGAAAAACGAGGATACAAGAATAGTACGAAAAATAGCAGAAACTTCGGAAAAATTGCACTGGTTAAAAAACTATACAGGTGAGAAATGATAGGAAATTCAGCAAGTGCAGTGTGACAATGGACATGCATGTGCAAATGTGTGTGAGTGTGAATTTACTGGAAGAGTGTAAGCGCGGTGACATTTTCTTTTTGTTTACAAAGATTGGGATCACGAGTGTGAATGTAGGCTGCTTCTAGAACTTTCAACTGCTTGAAACTACTTGCAGAACGAACAACACTGAACCAAGAATCATCATAACTTTCAGTCAGCAAAGTCTTCTACGCTTTGTCTGGCGTCTTTCTGAGCGAGGCAAGCAAATCCTGCTTTGCTTCCTCATAGATATTGCAGCCAATACAGATCCTTTCCGCCATGCAACTGTAGTGGGTAGCCGAGTGGAGGCACGACAATTAACACACACGAATTAACTTTTAATTAAACTTTCCCAGGTACACACCTGGATTATATGTAAGAAAGAGAAGCGGCAATAAAAGAACTTTCTCCGGTACACACCTGGAGGTTGAACAGCTCTTCTGCTCGGCTTTGTTGTCGTTATAAATTAATGAAATCAGTAAAGCGCAGCAGCTTTTATAGGGCAACAGACCCCGCATGCTAACGTACGGGGATACGCTAAGTATACGATATACTAGGAGTCAGCTACAGTTCCGTACTTGTGCGGAATGAAGTTTAATTGGGTACAGTGGGAGAGCTAGAGGTGAGTTCAAACCGCACAAGGATCTAGAGTATTGAACAGTTTCCGTTTCTTTGAAGTGATATGGCACGAGCGAGAACTCGCTGTTGCCCCTAGGTGAAAACGGAAAAAAGACTAACTGAAAAGAACAAGATGGATGTCATGTCGTGGTCGACACGCGGTGGTCTGGGTGTGAGCCCAGAATGGTGAACTCGCGAGGTACTACGTATGTAAGTGAAAAACGAGGAGAGAAGAAAGAGGTGAAGCCAGATCGCGACTCCTGTACATGGAGTAATAGGATGACTTGGTTTTGCATATGTGTATAGCTGGAGTAGAATCACGACACCCGTCGTGACACTTCCCCCCCCCCCCCTCCCCCCCCCCCCAGAAAGACGGGAACGAAGTTACATGTATATGAAAATAAGAAATTGGGAGACGATAGATGGAAAGAGTTGCCTAGCTAGCTTCTAGACATGCGTTCCAGGATTATAATTATTTATAACATGGACTGCACTTGCTGGGCATCCAAAAAGGATCGCTCTTAGGCCGCGCAATGCATGGCAATTGAGAGGAGTTTAGGGGGATTGAAAATTATCATTGTTATTGTAATCATCCGTTCAAACTATCATACATAGTTTATGGCACTGGAGACAGTGGAATATTGAAAGTATGTTCAGTAAGAGCACACTGTACACGATGAGTGAATAACACAGTCATGTTAGTCTGGCTAGAACGGCTTGCAAGCAGGACTTACTGATCACACACTGAGGCTATGTTGAGTACTGTGCTACACACACACACACACACACACACACACACACACACACACACACGCACACGCACACGCACACGCACACACACACACACACACACACACATACACACACACACACACACACACACACATAACGAAACAGACACAGCGGCTCTAGTCTAGGCCACTGCAATCAGTGATGCGACTGCGAGCGTCGCTGCGGCCAGCAGTGAACAATGACTCTGTGATGATGGTGCGCTGGCCGCTGGAGTCATCCATACTAAGTACACGTCATATCTCCATCCGGACAGGGAGTCGGTGGGTCAATGCCGGAGCTTTCCCGCTCGCTCAAGTGGATTGTTCTCAGGAGTGGAGGCTGCGCTTGCTCGTCAGGACAGCAGGGCAGAGTGCTGCGAACGGGGTTGCGCCGAGCCCCGCTGGTCACTGTCACTGTGAGTGTCAGGGTCATCGGCCTCGTGGTCACTTGATGTAGCTGCGTTGGCGAGGGCTTGTGCTTCGGTGATACAAGCATCGATCACGGCGCCGAGTTTCTGTAGTCGGCTGCGCCGAAGGTACAGAGCACCAAGAAACTTTTTCTTTGGCATGACTAATACGGCTGTATACCAGTCTACAGAGTTACCACGGGTGTACTGAAAGTCTACAGTCATTCGCCGGGATGACTCGAACTGTACGAGCGGCACGAGCGGAGAAACTTCCAACGGAGAGCTTCAACAAAAATGCTAGAAGAGTTTGACATGAGTTTGAAAGGTTTCGGCACCAGTTTAATAAGATCGGAAGATAAGCTAAAGTAGTGACGTGGAACTCACTTCCGAGTGTTTTGCCTGCTAGCAGATACTCCATCAGCTGCCAAGATTCGGTCCATTTTGCCACGCGTTGTGAGTGATCGGTCTTGCCAGTGAAGGTCTCGAGCAGCTGTCGTTGGTAGTTGCCCAGAGTGAACTCTTCCTGTGTGATACCGTATTGACTAAGCAACGCCGCATGGCAGTAAAGCAACATCTGTTGCAGGACTTTGGGTGAGAACGGCAAGATCACTCCCGCCGAACGGTAGCCTTTGTCATTACTCAGCGCTGTACGAGAGGCACTCTTGAGGTGCTGGAGGATTTGCTCGACCGCGGTCAGGTGCTCCGGGCTGGGAATGATGGTGAGATGGCCGTGCGCAGACTGGTCCTCGACGACACCGTAGATAGCACGCTGACAGGCGCGACGCACGGTTTCATCACTGTCAGCCGAGTGCTCTAGCAGTACAAAACTGGTGGCAACGTCACTCACACCGAGCACGGTGATGGCAAACTGCACGCCCAGCAGTCGCACTTTGGCCACCTCGCTGTTCTGGCACGATGCAAGCAGACTCATATACTCGGTGGAGTGCGCCTTGGCTGATGGCACGAGTGCGGGCGCAAAGGCCATGATGCAGTCGTAAAAGCTCTGCCGCAGATCCTCGCTCTCAGTCTCCTCTAATGTTTTGAACATGATTGTAACGCAGAACTCGTTCCGGAGAAGACCTCTGGTGGATGCGCTTGCGAAAGTGTTCTGGCACCGTCCGAGAGAACTTGCCAAGGGCGATTAGGGCCAGGCTACGCAAAGCAACAGGCTCTCATCTTCCATGATTCGCTCGCAGACATAGGAGAACAAGCTAGCACCATACTTTGTTGCATTATCCTCCGATGAATGTTCACAGATGTGCTGTAGTAGAAGCAAGCCCTGAATTCGAATCTTCAGCTGAGTACTGTAATGGCAGACTGCACAAGCCTTCACGGCCAACTCAATCTGATCCACTGCTTCTGTGGAGCGCTGCAGTACGGTGAGGATTGCCAACAGCACAAAATCCCTTGCCACTGAGCAGTGTGTTGGTGATTTGGTATCACCCTGGCTACCTAACATGACCTCATCAAGCGGCACATTCATTGTGGATCCCAACAGTAGCATGTAGACAGCCGTGATAACTGGCACCTTCTCCCAGATATCTGGACCAACCATGCGCTTTAGATGCGAGTCGCTTTTATCAGCCACGCTGTGGTGTGTATCGGCGGACGCCACAAGCAGATGGCATGCCACGTCCTCCTCGGCGAATATACCCGATGCAATGAACTCCACAGCACCCAGCTTCATCTCCTCCAGCTTGTCGAAATAGCCATTCGACACAGTCAAGTCGGCTGATGCACGCTGGTAGGATGCATGCGTGAGGCCCTGCAAGCCGCCCGGATCTACTCGATTCTCACCATGCTCAGGCGTAGGAGTGAACGAGGGCTTCTTGTACGGCAAACGCCGGAAGTCGATCAGAAACTCCAGCAGGAGACTGCCAACAGCTCGTCTTTTTTGCCGCAGCATCAACCAGCTCGCTCTGTCCACCTGGGACTCTGGCAGCTCGACAGAGCCAAGGAGCGGAGTTATTACACGTAGTTGGGCGTTCTGATTCGCCACGGGTCTGCCTTCGAGACAGCAGAGCAGGCGCGGCACTAGAACAAGCTGCTCCGCGCGCGCGATGCGCACCAGAGCCATCTTGAGATATACAACAGTGAAATTGTGAACAAAGCTAGACAACGTCGAGTCCTCATACTGCTGTAGCAAAGCATCAACCGGCATGGCCAGCTTCAGTCTGTTCTTCAGCTGCTTGCTTATGTGGGTCAGCACTAAAGTCTTGTCTCTGACATCTTTGCGTTCGGTGCCTAGTTTCAGCAAGACGGGGCACAAGAAGCGACCAACGGATTTTTCCAGCTTCTCGTCAGTATCTGCCCCTCCAAAACGTAGTAGCACTCTCTCCAGGAGGAGCAATTCTTCTTGGCCCGACATCTCCAAGGGTGAGAAGATGATTATGGATGAACTTTGGGTCCAAACTAGCTATGATATGAAGCCGGGTTTCGGCACCAGTTTGTGCGGAATGAAGTTTAATTGGGTACAGTGGGAGAGCTAGGGGTGAGTTCAAACCGCACAAGGATCTAGAGTATTGAACAGTTTCCGTTTCTTTGAAGTGATATGGCACAAGCGAGAACTCGCTGTTGCCCCAAGGTGAAAACGGAAAAAGACTAACTGAAAAGAACAAGATGGATGTCATGTCGTGGTCGACACGCGGTGGTCTGGGTGTGAGCCCAGAATGGTGAACTCGCGAGGTACTACGTATGTAAGTGAAAAACGAGGAGAAGAAAAAGGTGAAGCCAGATCGCGACTCCTGTACATGTAGTAATAATGATGACTTGGTTTGCATATGTGTATAGCTGGAATAGAATCACGACACCCGTCGTGACAGTACTAGCCAGGCAGGGATACTACACCCTCCCTTCCTACAGATAATCACGCCCTCATGATTTTCATAAGTAGGCAGGTGGACGAATGTTCTGTCGTCGCCGGAGGTTGTGCGGGTGGGCCGACGTCACATTGTTCAAGGCGGGCCAGGCAAACGCTGAGGCTTCCAGCGCTTTAGTAACTGCCTCTAGCTGCGATTCCTGGGCGACTTCGCACACAGGAAGAGGTGGTGTTTCCTGCTCTTCAGCCTGCAAGATGGAGTGTTGGTGAAGGGCGGCAAGGAGGGCAGCATCCAGGGTATTCGGAGCTAGTTCCCGGACCCGGACACGAATCGACCTGGAGTCGAGACCAGCAAGGAACTGGTCCTTAGCAAGAACATCCCTGTCAGCAGCAGCCATGTTGGGGTACGATTGGGCGACAGCCGCCCTTACCTTCTCACAGTAAGCGCTGACCGACTGTCCCTTCTCCTGTCGCAACGCTTTGAATGCGGCCCGGTGTAGTTCGGCATGCTGAGCGGGAGCAAAACGGTCTTCTAGGGCCTGAGCGAGGGCAGCGATGGCGCCTTGACGGGTCGCCTGCGGGAGACTCAGGTAGAAGAGTTGGGCGTCCCCCGAGAGGGACAACCCCAGGAATTGCGTTTGCTCGGCTGGCGTGCACTGGTTCACCGCAGCACCCTGTGCAAACTGGCCATACCATGCCGACCAGTTGCCGTCTAGCCGACCTGCGTATTTGGCCGGGGTGGCCCAGTTGTGCACGTGGCGAGTGGGCGCCGGAGCAGCGGCGGCTCGTGCAGCAGCAGGTTGAGCCATAACGTCAACGATTGACTGAGGATGGCTACAAGACGGAAGCTCCGTAAACAGCCCAGGGACGAATTCAAGGAGTCAGCTACACTTCCGTACTAGCCAGGCAGGGACACTACACTACCAGATAGAACGATACGCAATCGCAGCAGCCATTCGGTTTCTTCGAACAGGTCGAGATAACGCTCCAGTGGCTGCGTTCCATCGTATGCGGGGATTTTCATCGACGGTTTACGCCCACCGCTGTGACTGGGAGCTTCTGCTGTACCTCCCATCAACCTCACACTGGCGGCGGCACCATTACCCTCATACGCCCTGTCGATGCGCTCGTGTAGCGGGCTGCAGTCAAGACCGGAGATAATCTGAGAGTGCAGCCGTCATGACCACGTTTAAATTTCTTCGATGGTACAAGTGCCATACTGGAGAGAATCTGAGAGTGCAGCATGAATTGGTCTTTTGTTAGGCTGTCGAGGTCCCATGCCACCATCTGGGGATATGCTTGCTGGGCCAGGGAGCGAACCGCCTCACTGAACGTTCGTCTTTGGCCTGGCGGCGAGCTTGAAAGGTTGCGCGATGCAGGTCGACGCGCTGGGCGGGGTCGAACCGGGCTTGCAGCGCCTGGACGAGTTGTTGGTGGCCTCCATTCCTGGTGGCCGCCGGGAGAGACTCCAGTCTCTCCGGAGGCGTGGGTTTGAATCCCACCGCTGCCACCAATTATGTAGCGGGCCGCAGTCTCGGAGGCAAATGCACACGGGTCTCAGTGAACACACTGTTGTCAACTTTATTACTCAAAAGAATCGTGAACAGCAGGTTTTATGCACAGGCAAACTCCGTACACTAATGTACGGGGATACGCTAACGTACGGGGATATAGTAACGTACGGGAATATGCTAACATACGGGGATATAGTAATGTTCGAGAATATGCTATACTCTAAACACTATACGCTATATGCTGTGAAGTCACCAGCGTGCCAACGCTACAATTATACAGCTGGGCCTCGCTTTCTAGTGCGGGGTCCAGGAACTGCGTCTGCTGAACGGGGGTCCAGTTATTCACCGCGGCGACCTGGTCAAAATGCATGAGCCAGGAAGCGAAGTTGTCCTCCACGCGACCCTTGTACTTTTCGGGCTGCACATGGTACGCTCCTCTCGGTGGTTGGGCAGGAGCGGGCGGAGCTGGGGCTGCGGCGGGCACGGCGGCGGGCACGGCGGCGGGCACGGTGGCGGGCACGGCGGCGGGTGCCCCGGCAGGTACACTAGGTTGAGCCATCGGAGAAACATGTAATGTAAGTGACAATGAAACAAAATGAATTTACCGCTGCCACCGATTTTGTAGCGGGCCGCAGCCTCCTGGAGGCAATATACTTCAAGGGTCTCAGTGAACACACTGTTGTTTATAATAAAAAAACTGAACTGAACTGGAATGAAGGTAACTTTGCCATTGCTTGCAGCACAGGTGCCATTTTACCTATATCGGCGCTATACTTGGTGTCCACCTTGCTATCTTCAGTCATAGCGTGCATGGCACACACCTCTACCTCTTCGGAAAACACGCACAACGTATTGGTGAAAAGACTCCTCTGACCGCTGTTTGCCTGTCAGCAAAGTCTTCCGCGCTCTGTCCGGCGTCTTTCCGAGCGAGGCAAGCAACTCTCGCTTTGCTTCCTCATAGGTTTTGCAGCCAATACAGGTCCTTTCTGCGATGCTACCCAATAGAGCGATACGCAATCGTAGCAGCCATTCGTTTTCGTCGAACTCGTTCTTGGAACATATGTCCTCGAACAGGTCGAGAAAACTCTCCAGTGGCTGCGTTCCATCGTATGTGGGGACTTTCATCAACGGTTTACGCCCACCGCTGTGACTGGGATCTTCCGCTGTACATCCCATCGACCTCACACTGGTGGCGTCACCATCACCCCCATACGCCCTGGCGATGCGCTCGTTCATCTCCTTCACCTTATTCGTCAAGCTCTGTGCGGAGTGCGGAGCGCACCCTCTTGCCTTCTGGCACCACGCTCCTCACACTCCTCGCACTGTCGGAGCCTCTGCTCCACGTCATCTTTCAACTTATCTCCTTCCAACCCACATTGAATTCCGTTGGCGATACTTCTCTCTTCAATGTTCCTCTGTTGTTCTGCCATGCTCGCTTTGTATCCTGGCGTGGTCGCCAAATGTTGTGAACCCTCTGATTCTCTTAAGTGTCAGGAACGAACGACCACACGGCACGAGAACAATTGCTTCTTTAAAACAGTATACCGGTACACTGTAACAGTATATTTGACTTCGATCGAATATAATGTAGCGGGCCACAGTCTCTCAGAGGCAAAATACTCACGGGTCTCGGTGAATTAAAAACAACAACTCCCCTCTCCAAGGCCCTTCATTACTTTAATTTCTTGCCCAACCAGCTTCGCGAAATCCCTTCTCGTACTCTCTTCAAATCCCAGATATCCCTGCTGTTCCCTAACTCTGTATGCTCGTGTAGCGACCACCCCTGCCCGTACACTTAAGTAGTCTTTAATCCCTGCCCACCCAATCCTTCTTCACTATTTCTCCTCTCTCCCACTATTATCTCTCATTGGCCACTGGCTATCGTGACAACAACAACAACCCACAACCCACAACAACCACCCACAACAAATGCGCTGGGGGACCTTGTGGATAAACTTGTCTTCTCGTACTTTTCCGCTGTGTGCTCCAGTAGAGAATACGGAGAGCAAAGAGTGCGGTCGGCCGTTGGGACTGCGTATGCTGAATAACGACACCCTACTCGTTGTGGACCTGTTCCATGGCCTGTTCTCAGTGAACACAGACACTGGTGCTACGCGTCTGTTGCTGGAAGGCGGCGATCTCATTGCCGGCCAGGAGATGACCATGCTGAATGATCTAGACGTCGACCTGGAGACACAAACAGTAAGATAGTCGCCAGGATTACCATGGTTACGGTGTCGGTAGGCATTCAGCTGTGTGTTTACCTGGAAGCTCAGTCCACAGACAATTGTGTTCTGTGACTGCTATCCCTTGTGGACTGTGTATATTGTGTTCTGTGCTCTGTAACTGTGTAGGTCACATTCCGTGTGACGCGCAGCATCTTGTGCACAATCTCTCTCTTCTAGTCTTGCTGTCTCTCACTATCTTGCTGTCTCTCTCTCTCTCTCTCTCTCTCTCTCTCTTTCTCTCACATATGCACACACACGCTTGCTCGCACACACACACACACACACACACACACACACACACACACACACACACACACACACACACACACACACAACATCACCACCGCCGCCACCACCACCACCACATACTTATTCTCTCTCTCTCTATTGTATCTTCAAATTCAAGTCTGTGTGTACATGACATAATACCATGTTATGCCCTATCACATGTCCGTTTGTGATTGTGTTTGTGTGTTCTGCTAGGTCTACGTGTCTCAGATAACACAGCGCTGGCCATTTCCTAGACTCAACTATGAATTTGTGGAGGGAACATGTACTGGAAGAATTCTCTCCTATCACATTCCGACTGGTGAGGTAAGGTTTCTACATCGTAAGGAGGAAAGTTGATCGGTCGCACTGTCACCTCGGGGAGAACTAACTTGTCAATGCATGTCGTCATGTGTGTTTCTGTGTGTGTGTGTGTGTGCCTGTGTCTGTGTGTCTGTCTGTGTGCATGTGTGTGTGTTTCTGTGTGTATGTGCGTGCATGTGTGTGTGTATGTGTGTGTGTGTGTCTGTGTGTGTGTGCACGTACATGCATCTGTGTGTGTGTACACGTGCCTGCATGCGTCTGTGTGTGTGTGCACGTGCCTGCATGTGTCGGTGTGTGTGTGTGCACATGCCTGCATGTGTCTGTGTGTCGGTCTGCTAAGTGTGTACACGCATGCTTGTGCTTCGTGCACTCGATGCACATGATGATCTCAGGTGACGTTCTAAGTTATAACCTACCTGTGTCTTCCCGTATGCAGGCTGATGAGGTAGCGACGGGACTCTGCTTCCCCAATGGCGTACAGCTTAGCAAGGATGGGCAGTCACTCCTCTTCACCGAGTCAACTCGTTTCCGCCTATCTCAGTAAGCGACAAATTGTTCACCCTGATGATGGCTGTGATGGTGGGCCAGGCCCTGCGGACATTTGGTGGAACGTGAATGATTAATTTTTGATTTGCCGTGATGATACTATCATTGGAGTGTTTGCAGTGAGGTTTCTTAAATATGTGAATGGCTGCGTTGGAGTTTGCGGACAATAAGAACAGTGACAACTGGTTGGGTTTACGATAATTTTTGATTCGACATCTGAAGAAAGTGTTGAGCAGTCGATGCCTGAATGACATCTGGAGCTACATCATAGACCAGTGGTTAAAGCATCGCTGGCCATTGGCAAATGTCCCTCGTTTCAGTCCTGATAGCGACAGGCATTTTTTTATTCGGAGATTTCCCCTTTTTTCAACCCCTCAAACATGTGACTATTACATGCGGTGTGCTTGCCCGTGTAACAGATGTCTATCAAGAGTACATGAAACCCGGGGTGTGCAACTAATTACTTGGGGCCTTTTCTACTATGGGTCACGGCGGAATTCCGTGATTACATCATATTTGGCGCAGATCTGAGGCGTGAAAAGGCGTAGTGCGTACAACTGGGCTGCAGTTGTGCGGAAAGAGACATGCTTGAATCCTGCTTGCACGCACTACATCACTAAAATGATGTAATCACGGAATTCCGCCGTGACAGCAACCCATCCGAGCTGCACACTCTGGTTTTCACGTACTCTTGTGGCCATGCAGTGTGTGCAACACATCATCACCTTCTAACCATACGGATTTCGTCTCTCCCCCCCCCCCCCCCCCCCCCGTTATCTCCCAGGTTGTCTCTGGAAAAGAACACATCATCATCGTCGTCGACCAACACCACGACAGTACTGGACGATAACATTGCCGGTATTCCGGACAACATCCGCCCGCATCCCGACGGTGGATACCTGGTTGCTGTGCCGTCGCTAAGAACGAAGGTCAAGTCCACGGAGCTGCTGAACCGATGGCCGTTGTTACGCCGCCTCATTTGGAAGGTAAGCATGGCCGCTCTGTGGTATCCGTATGTTGAGTTGTAATTTATGTACTCCTCGGTTGTACAGTAAAACCTGTCAAGGCAACCACCTGTCCCAGAGTAGCACTACAACTAGGACCATGTGTGTGCACGCATGTGTATGTATGTGTGTGTGTGTGTGTGTGTATATGTGTTTATGTGCATGTGTATGTGTGTGTGTGTTTATGTGTGTATGTGTGTGTTTATGTGTGTGTATGTGTGTATGTGTGTGTTTATGTGTGTATGTGTGTGTTTATGTGTATGTGTGTGTATGTGTGTTTATGTGTATGTGTGTGTTTATGTGTATGTGTGTGTTTATGTGTGTATGTGTGTGTATGTGTGTGTATGTGTGTGTTTATGTGTATGTGTGTGTATGTGTGTGTTTATGTGTGTGTTTATGTGTATGTGTATGTGTATGTGTATATGTGTATGTGTATGTGTGTGTGTGTGTGTGTGTGTGTGTGTGTTTATGTGTGTGTTTATGTGTGTGTTTATGTGTGTGTTTATGTGTGTGTTTATGTGTATGTGTATGTGTGTATGTGTATATGTGTATGTGTGTGTGTGTATGTGTGTGTGTGTGTGTGTGTATGTGTATGTGTGTATGTGTGTATGTGTGTATGTGTGTATGTGTGTATGTGTATGTGTGTATGTGTGTTTATGTGTGTAAGTGCTCATACCCTATGTTTGGTACACGTTTGTGTGTTGACATGTGCCTTTGCTTAAAAGCGGGATTCACAGAAGCTTTTTGCGATGCGACATGCGATGCGACAGCCGCGAAACCGGGAAATCCCCAAATCGCAACCATCGCGGACCCCACGCAACTGCCGCAACAGGGCCATCGCAGAAGTTGAGCTTGGCTCAACTTTTGCGATGCGATGCGACAAGCGATTTGGCGTACGATTTTGACCTTTTCCACAGCAAAGTTGTACAAAGGTTCAAGAGTTGCCTATAAATTTGTACAAGCTGTATCAAACCGCGCAAATATCATGGTGACGTAGCCAAATCAGCAAGATATTGTCGCATCACTGACTTCTTCTGTGAATGGTATTTCGCGAGTTCGCATCGCACGCGTCCGTCGCAGATCGCGTCGCATCGCGTGTCGCATCGCAAAAAAGCTTCTGTGAATCCCGCTTTACCCACTCCTGTATTCGTCTTCATGTTCACCTTGCGTCTTCTTCTTCTTCTTCTCTTCCCTCACACACGCACACACAGATCACACCAGGGTTTGCGTACAGCTTCATCGAGGACGCCATGGTGTACGGTATGTGTCTACACTACCATAACAACGGAACCATACTGGACACGTACCATTTCCACGACGTGGACAACTTCCGGCACATCAGCCAGTGCACTGTGGCGCCGGATAAGAAGACGATGTACGTCAGCAGCCGCGTGGATAGCGGCGTTGTGGTCATGCCGATTGCTTAGAGGTCAGCATGGCTAGCGTCGTCATCATGGCACTGGGTTAGAGGTCAGCAGGACTACCGTTGTCATCGTGCCACTGGCTTAGAGGGCAGCATGACTAGCGCTGTTGTCAAGCCACTGCTGGATTCGAGGGCGGCAGGACTGGCTTTTATTGTCATGCCGATGGTTTAGAGGACGACAAGACTAGCATTGTTGTCATGCCACTGGCTTTGCGGGCAGCAGGAGTAGCATTCTCTCAGGACGGCTTTCATCCTTGTGCAATTGCTGGCAAACTAGTCTTGCCACCGTCCATGAAGTGAAAAGAATCATGGCGTTTTTGGTATCTTTCCTGTTATTTGTGGTGTTGGCTTTCTCGGAGCTCGCATCTTAAAACGCTTTCCATCTGTTCCCGTTGGAGTAGCTTTGGTACTGCTACGCAGTGGAACAATGTGAAGCATCGCCAGGAGTCCTGATGATAAGCCAGTGTAGTGTCAGCAGTGAGACAGTTAACACAATCTGTCCTCCTTGTTACAATATCTGATACTTCAGGTAACCATTATTGTGATCGGCAATGTCACCGTTACCCAATCCACTAATCTATAAAATCACCCTTTATTCTTTAAATAACCGACGAGGAGACAACAGTCGTAAAATAGCAATGAAAAATATCAATTGTGCACTCATAATCATGTATAAACAATTAAAATGAAACAATTCCAGAACGTTTTCGTGTGACCATCATCAGTGGAACATCGTCACATAGTAAGAATCACTAAAACAACCAGTTATATAGCTAGAGTAACATGAAAAGAAGCGTGAGAATGCAGCACAGCTAGCGGTTATGCATAACGCGTGTAGTGTGAACCTTTGCAGTGTATCTGAGAATGGTAGCAGTAGATGAATGTGGCAGCTGTGAGTGCGTGTGAACAAAAACTGGTGAGTGCGTATTATTTAAAAAGTGTGAGTGCTACAACATTTTCTTTTTGCTTGCATAGAACAGGGTCACGTGTGCGAATATATACAGCTTCCAACACCTGCAACTGCTTAAAGAAACGCGCGCGACAAATAACACTAAACCAGGAATCGTCAAACAACTTACGACAATCCGGACTGGACACCAAATGCTTGTAGATGGCAGACTTGCTCTTGTCGATGTCGAACTCCTCCTCGTCCGTATCACTCTCATCCTCCACTTCCCGTTCCTGCTCACCCTTACTTTCCTCCTGACCATCCTGTTCATCCCCATCATCATCCTCCATCTCCATCTCCTCATGCCATCGCTTCTTTCTCCTTGACGTGTTCACTGCTGCGCCCGTACTTTCACCTGCCACTACTGGTTCCGCCTTCTCCATTTTTCTCAGTCGTGTCTCCGCTAGTCTCTGGCTTCTCCTCAGATTCGTTTTTCCTCCATTTTCATTTCGTTCTCCTGGTGATCTTTCCGTTACCGCCATCGGGTTTGTTAATGAACGGTCGTCCGGTGGTCTCCCATGCCGTGTTGTTGTCGTCAAGAGTGACACCAGATTCGTGTGTTGCGCTACTGTTGAGTCCGGTGTTGTATCCGTTTCTGGTTGTGTTGTAATACTGACAGGCGTAGTAGTAGGCAACGGGTGTTTTCTCGGCCTCCCACGCTTTGGCCTGCCTGCCCTGGCCGCTTTTGACAACAAGGACAATGGGACGTGTTGTTTGATACGTTCGGACAAGTGTTGCAGAAAATGTTGTAGCACTCACACTTTTTAAATAATACACACTCACCAGTTTTTGTTCACACGCACTCACAGCTGCCACATTCATCTACTGCTACCATTCTCAGATACACTGCAAAGGTTCACACTACACGCGTTATGCATAACCGCTAGCTGTGCTGCATTCTCACGCTTCTTTTCATGTTACTCTAGCTATATAACTGGTTGTTTTAGTGATTCTTACTATGTGACGATGTTCCACTGATGATGGTCACACGAAAACGTTCTGGAATTGTTTCATTTTAATTGTTTATACATGATTATGAGTGCACAATTGATATTTTTCACCTTTATTCTTTATTATTATTTTAGTTGAATTTTAATTGTGATCTGCGATGCCACCGTTACATGGTCCACTAATTATAACCACTGATCTCTCCTCCCCCAAATTTTTAATTTTTCATGTCTAAGAAATTGTGCTAACGAACAGGGCAAAATACTCAACGTTTTTTCTTCTTCTTTCTTCTCTCTATCAACAGTTGAACACGTACCAATGAAATTGAATACTCGTCGGAGCTTGATCTGTGCTGGTTGACTTCTGTCTTATGCATGTGCCGCTGCTGCAGTCGTTGTAGTGTTGTCCTGCTAGGTATTCTCTCCCTCATGAATTCCGCGGCAGAATATCAGAA